TTCATTAAATGAGTCTTATAAAGAAACTAGAGTGTTGTGTTACAGCTTCACCTAGCTTTACTGACGGACTGACTGACAGACTATTATTTATTTTGTATTTGTTGACGTTTCAAAAGTACCAAATTATGGTTTAATTGAAATAAATGCTTTGAACTTTGACTTTGACTTTATATTGTACATGTACCTCTGCTTTTCTCTTCAGGGATAAAAGGTGTGCTGTACCCATAGCTTCCACATATTATCATTTTTGCTTCATGTTTCAAAACAAGTGTCTAGACTTTCCAAAACAATAATAAAATTCTAAAAGCAATTTTTAATTCTACGTATAAGTTACGTGAGCTGTTAAAAATTGTCTGTAAAATAACATAATCTGACATCATAAAACATGATAATAAAACACGGCAGGTTTCCTATACAAATTGTACTTTGCAGTTAATAGTTGAAAAAAATAACCTTGGAATTGCCAAACCTGTTGCTGCATTAGCGAACTGTGAAGACAATAGTACGTTTATACTATATAGATTTTTACACATACAGATATATCTCCCTTACCATAAGAAGGAAACAATACAATGACACGCCAACCGCTTTAGTTTTGACATACTTTCTTTACTTCATCTACATATCCGTCAATCTATATTAGTGCTATTTTATAGGCACGATCGTTTCTTGATCATCCACTAGTCGCTGCTCCCCCGGCATCCCGGCCTAAATGCACAGAAACAGCGCCTCAACGCCGGGGACATGAATATGCCAGTTTTTGCTTATAATGTCACTTAAAATCTTCTCTAGATCATTAACTAGTTCACTGCTTCTAAATATATTTTATCCATCAATTTCATCCTTATCATACCTGAAGTCTCCATTCCCTCCTAATCTTTTTAAACCCAACCTCAAAGAATAACTCATGAATTTCTTTCACTACTCATCTTTAGCATCTGCACTTCTAACTTACAATGGTTTCTAATAAATGTCTATCTTTCCAAGCAAAACTGATCAATCAGCGCTTGTTTGTAAATTCAAATCTAAACAGGGCTCATATCCGTCCGCCAAATGATGTAACGTACGTCAATGACCGTCAAGGGCCGCGGAATCAAGGTCCAATTGACAAAAAAAAAATTATGCCAACGTGCCAACGTATGAACAGTTAAACTCAAACATCAATGCTAATAACACCATTATAAGAGTCGTTACTGATCAAATTATTTTCAATTACACCCTCGAGGTTGATGGTCTTGAATTTAAGATGCGATTTAAAGTTAATTTCGTTAAATTGAAGTCTTATGACTTGAAGTGTTTCAATGTCGATAAGTTCATAACGTTTATTGGTATTGATGACTACTATTTGTGTAAGCACTTTGTCATCGTCTTTTTCCATTTTATTCGTTAATACTTTTTCGATTTATTCATCTAATTTATCAAGTTTTTATTTTATTACAAGGCAAAAATCTTTACTCAGTTCCTTAGCTCATAAAACGCTATCAGAATTTTTTCCTTAAAGTTTGATTCAAATGATGATGTCAACTTGGTAAGAAGGAAGATCATTTGCATTTAAAAGAAGGATAATAATGTCTACAAGGGTAACCTTACCTGATTTTGGAAGCGTAGACTGATATTCTTGGAATAACAATTTTCTTTTTATTTTGACATTATGTATTAAAACTATTATAAATATTCGGAAGAAGTTTAAGTTGAAAATAGTTTCTACTGGAATACTAATGGCATATGGCTAGGTATAAGATAAACTGATAGGCACTTATATCTATCAGTTCTACTACTAGTACCTATGAGTTATTGGACATGAATAAATTAGCTCTGAACATGAGGCTCAAATTACAAGATTGTTTCATTGATGGAATCATCATAATTATACTCACGAGGCCCTTAATCGTAAAGATTCTCCGACCCACCAAGATTCTAATACATTATTAGAGTTATTACAAGTATTAACTCTGGAAACAGATTTAAATGAGGTCAAAGTCACAAATAATGATATTACAATTGACAAAATTGTATCAGTATCAGTAACATCAATACAAGTTTCGAAACTAAATAAAATTGATCACACAAACGTAAGTGCAGCATAATATTAATAAGTCCTGTCGCGGCGTTACGTGCCAAGGCTGCCATTAGATCATCGTCTTGTGGTTGGCTTGTTTACTTGTATTTTTATTTATTACTCACATCAGAAGGTCCAGTGAGATATGAAAGGTCTTTTTATTTATCAATTAAATTAAAAGGTTGACCTTTATTTGTATCGTTGTTGTAATTTATAACGTCTTCATTTAATGCTGTGGGTACAAGCTTTTCGGCAGGAACTGGATGTTTTATTTCTGCTTCGCTTTGATGTTGTTTGTCATTATCGTTTATGACATTGAATGTATAATTTCGATTTTATTAAAATATTTAATAAATAAAGACCTTATATCTATTTTTGGCTTTTTATTAGAAACGTATCAGTTAGATAGTTTTTCAACTATTGATACCACTTTCATTTTCAAAATTATGATCTACTTGTTTCCATTATTTCCTACTACGGTGTACAAAATGGTTTAATTTTACATTTTACCTATTTTGTCTTTCCTTCCGTAACAATATTGTTCCAGTGAATACATTCAAATTTCAAATAATTTTGCCTCGTAACGACCCACGACCTCAAAAAATAAACAGGAAAAAAGCACCACAAGCTCTTTAGCCCCCCTAGAGACCTTAAGCCACCTGTCAGTACATCACTAGAGAAAGACGTAGAAATAGCATCGTCCCGCATGTTTACATCACGTGACCTTGGCATCGATTCGGTTTCGTCTGTTGGTAAACGTGTGAACACATCGTACGCATTTTCATTTTCGTTTTTGTTAGTTTTTTGTCTGTCCCAGTTATTATTGAGATGTCCATTGTTAATGTTGTTAACAGTTTATGTTTCAAGGACGTTGGTTATTTTTTGGGATTTGTTTGTTTTAGTCTATGTCTTTGCTGTCTCTCATTGGTTTATTAGTTGTTGTGTTAGCGAATGTTGTAGGGTTTGGTTCGATCAGTTTTTTTATTTCATTTATTTATTTATTTATTTAAGGGCAACCAACAAATTGTACACTAACATATGTACATGGTGATAGGTTTTTAACATATATTATACATTTTCTAAATAAAAAGTGTATGACAGAATATACTTGTCTGTATTTCTACTATGCTAATTGAACATCATCCTCTCTAGAAATAAAAATGAACATTTATTTGGTTTTTTATTCATTTTTCGTATTGTGTTTACAATATACGTGTTTTTAGCTTTTTGCAACAACGTTTTTACAATTTTCAAAGAATAACTTGATTAATTAAAACGGTAAACAACAGAGCTGTAGCAATATAAAATACGAGTCCTCGTGTACCTTTGATATCACCATGTATTTCTATAAACTTTTGCCATTATTCAGTTCAATATTCTCAGTGTTATAGCTTTCTGAATTATTCATGGTACTATCAATAAATATTCTATTAGTTGTATGTATAATTTCTTTACAAATTTGTTCCTAGTGTGGACGTGGTCTTACATATGAGTCGTTCGATTACCGCGCTCACCTTGTCAAAATATATACTTACTATGCTATACAGTATCTAGCTACCTAAGTATACTTAATAGAATACGATTTTTTGAAAAGCTAACTTTGTCACTTGTTCGGTTTTGGGATAGATCATTGTCCTAATAAAATGCTGTTGAGGTCTTTGGTTCAAATCAAATCAAATTTATTCGCACAAACATGTGTATACATACACACACACGCAGGTGCATGTATGTAGGATGATAAAAAATAGAACAGTTGCACTTAATACATGTTTACCACTTGTCATGGCATGCAAATTTTTAGTAAGTATTAATTCAGTTTGATTTTTAAGTAATACAGTGTTTGCGATTCTGGGTGGTGAATGGTATTATGCCTATGATATGTTTGTTACTCTTTGATGCAAACATTACTGAAGGGTTTTATGATTGGCACATAGATAAATTGCACATCAACAGCCTATAAGTGGCCATTTCTGACCAAAGGCCTCTTCTCACATAGAGAAGGTTTGAGCATTGATCACCACGCTTGCGCAATGCAGGTTGGATTTTAAAATTAATTACAAATTACAAGCCCAGGTTTCCTCACGATGTTCTCCTTCACCGTTTGTCAGTGGTGTTTTAGATAATCTACATACAGAAAGTACATTTAACTAGGAAAAAGTCACATTGGTACAAGTTGCCGTTGGTAGGTTTCGATCCCGCGCTCTCATGCATGAGAAGCGGGCGTTTTAAACTGTCAAACACCAAGCGGTCACCGGTGACCGCGACCTCATCATCAACAGCCTATAAATGCCCACTGCTGAGCAAAGCCTCTTCTCACACGGAGAAGGTTTGAGCATTAATCACCACGCTTGCTCAATGCGGGTTGGCGATTACAAACTTATAATTAGAAATTATAAGCCCAGGTTTCCTCACGATGTTTTCCTTCACCGTTAGTCAGTGGTGTCTAAATAATCTTAGAACCCTAAGACCGCGACCTATTGTTCTTTAATTGTGTCTATAAAACCGGTACTCGACGAGTTAAACCTCCGGGCCACCACAACATAACCATAGATAAATTAGGCTACTTTTTATTCTGATTATGTAGACGAAGACAGAAGCTAGTGTATGTATAGTATATCTAATTCTGCCAGGTCCTTCGAAGAAACACGACTATGACGTCATTTTACGTCTTACTTTGCACGCACCGTCTGCTAACGTTTGGTAGGGGAAATATATTTGAGTAATATGATTTTTACTAGAATACCTGCATACGAATAATCTTGTTGTGTTTCAAGTTTTCTTGTTTCCATTAATATTGAATACAATTGTATGTTGTTATGCTTTGTTATCAATTTTGGAAAATCATTAAACGCAGTCAAAACATTATAACAATGAAAATTGTGGTTCTGTTAATCAGAGCATATCGTAACAGGGGAGACTCGAAACAAAAACATTTCGTAAAATGGGTAAACTACATACACGTGTAGTTGTCTTTTTAACGACTTTGAAAATGAGTTTGTAATGCTTTCTCTCCTAAACTACTGGACGGATTTTGATGAACCTCGTAATAATTTCGTACCTGGTTCAAATAACAAAATAGAAGCTGTTTTTTATGGGCTTTTTTTTAAGGGTGGAAAGTCATCGAATGACTGCTCCCGCCTAGGTGAGGCGGGAGGGAGTGTCAGACTCTTACTGACTAAAAACCACTCCGTTCCTTCTCCTGCACGTCTAGCCGGAGTCCCGGTAACCCGTTAGGTTCTCCGCGACTGTTTATATGGGATAGAGTGCACACGAGTAACAGATAAGATAAGTTTGACTGCACGGTTGGCGCGGTGGTTGGGCAACTGGGTGCCGCGCAACGTGTCGCGGGTTCGATTCCCGCACAGAACAACTCTTTGTGTGATCCATAAATTGTTGTTCTGGGTCTTGGTGTCATGTGTACGTGAACTTATATGTTGGGCAACGCATTTAAAAAAGTAAATAAAAAAAGTAAGTAAGCGATCGGTGCCGCCAACGGACCAAAGAAAAACCAACGCAGTTACAAATTTGTTAACGGTCTTTCAAAAATAGTACTTTTGTAATATTTCCCTACTACCTACATATCATATTGATCTTCGAGGTAAAAGCTATATTTTCATAAACTATTTCTAGACAAATATGTCAGAAACCACTCTAAAACTCGTTACCTGTTGTTTAAACAATGGATATGTATCGGCTAAGGTCGTTACAGTGTCAGGGTTATATCTACCATAGATACCGATGACCATGGTCGTTGTAATGACATCATATGACGTCATAGTATGGCGCCAGTAATATCGAATGAAGTTCATATGTGAAGGGTGCATGGTTTATAGTAGAAGTGGGGTGTGGCTTCGTTCAAGGTTAGTTAGGAATAAATAGATTGCTTATTTAAGGGTAAAGCCGTTTTAGCTGTGTGGTAAGAGTTGTGGTCGGTATTTGGTAATAACATTTCCTTTTAAGTAAAAACGCGGGTTACTCTCGTGAATATACTAAGAAAAGCTCTACACACGCTGCTCGCACGCTGCTCATGAGGAAGAACCCTCCTGTGGTTCGAAACTAGTAGAGCTTTTCTCAGTATATTCACGTGAGTAACCCGCGTTTTTAACTTAATTTAGTATGTCTCACGATAGTTATTATAAAAACATTTCCTCTATTTTTTTAAGGTAAGGTTTGATAGAAGCTTCTGTAGCTGTAAGCTCCTACCTACCAATTTTAATTTTTTTTTGTGCCTTAGAGTGTCCGTAATTGTTACTATTGTATTTTCAAACCACCTGTATATGTACAATGTTGATGTAATTAATAAATACTTGAATACTTGTAGAGTCTGACTGTTGACTGCCTCGTTGGTCGAGTGGTCGCAAGTACGACTGCCGGGCAAGGGGTTTCGGGTTCGATTTCCGGGTCGAGCAAAGAATAACTGGGTTTAAAAAAAATCTCAGTAGTAGCACGGAGGCTGATATTGTGCCCGGTATATGTTAATAGGCTCACCCCCTATTACATTTGTAGCAAAACCAGCATCAGGTCGCTTCACATTGTACAATGGCATAATGTGCACCTCTGCCTACCCCTTCGGGGATAAATGACGTGATGTTATGTATTAGAGTCCCAAAATGATTGCTGCTGATTATTAAGAAATCAGCTAGAAGTCTAGATTTTAAAGTTATTTACCTAAGTGAGATTCTGCCTATGTTTTCGGGAAACAAAAGTATTACGAAAAGTACATTAAGAATAGTCAATTATTTATACATTTCGGAAAGTAAATTCATTGCTGACTCATTGTACTTTAATGTACCAAATTAACAACACTACAATTAGAATCGGCAACAACAGTTAATTACAGGCTTTTACTTCAAACTTTACGATTCTCAAGTAATTGCAGCTCACGAAGGGTTCATTATGTCTGCTTGGCTGGTGTTTGGAGCTGCCCTCATTGGGAACTCGGTCATATCTGATTAGAATGATATGGTAGTTCCTATCTTAACTGTTTAACGTACCTGTGTTAAATTACTACTGTTTCTAACCGACTTGTAGGTGGTACTTAGTAGATTGTTAATCTCACCTACTTTAAGTCCGCTGTAGTGTAGGTAGTACTTTTTTGCGTTAATAGAGTTAGTGCGAATAGAATTAATGTTGAACATAACATAATAACATCACGCCTTTTATCCCCGAAGGGGTAGGCAGAGGTGCGCATTATGCCACTGTACAATGTAACACCCACTTTTCACTATTTTATGTTATGAGTCCCATGTAATAGGGGTGAGTCTATTGCCATTTACAGGGCACAAGTCCAGACTCCGTGCTACTACTGAGATTTTGTGAAAAAACCTAGTAATACTTTGCCCGACCCGGGAATTGAACCCAAGACCCCTTGTCCGGCAGTCGCACTTGCGACCACTCGGCCAACGAGGCAGTCTAAATCTAACTCAGGCAGAATAAATCTGGATATAAATTATTAACAAGACGGGCTTTTCCCTTTGGAAGACGAAAGCTTTCAAACATGACGTGTCTATACAACGACATAAAGTATACAATCTGCATTGATAATATCGTTGACAAAGAAAAAATGAGCACTAAATAAGAACAGTTCACTTGTAGGATTATCTGGCACGCGATCACTGTTATGAAATTGATCGTAAAAATATAGGGCTGCTTCGTTAAAAGAAACGAGGATCCATTCGCCGTAATTTGTTGATTTTAAAATTATTTATGGATTTTATTGGCAGGTGTTCTTTTAAGCCTGTAGTTGTGTTTATCTTCGTGTTACTACAAATACATCAATACGTGTTACTACTATAGTAATACGTAGAATTACAACGACAATACTGAATCTTCGTCACTGCCATTCAATTACTTTTTCTCGATTTTAATTAATGCATTCGTTAAAACATAATAGAAGATTTTTGAGCTAAATGATTAGGGATAAATATAAATTTTTTTTATGGCATAAGCCGGTAAACGAGTAGACGGATCACCTGATGGTAAACAATCAGCGTCGCCCATAGACACCTGGAACACCAGAGGCGTTGCAAGTGCGTTACCGGCCTTTTGGGGATTAGGATTTTGAGGAGCGTTGGGGATTTAGGAATTGGGGAGATTGGGGAAGGGCAGGGAAATTGGGCCTCCGGTGACCTCACTCACACGACGAAACACAACGCAAGCGTTGCTTCACGTCGGTTTTCTGTGACTTTACAAGTTTAGCATAATCCTAGGCTTTAATTAACCCGTCTTATGTCGGAACGTAGGTCTACGCGAGACACAATGTATTGTTTATTGTGTCTCATATACCTACACTCGACAGGTTAAAAAGCTGGAGACGTAGCCCTTAACTTTGTGAAATGAAAATAAGCATATCGCCCTTAAAACTTAATCTTCCAAATTAGACATTTAATTAGAGCATTAAAGAATATAACGTCTATTCTTCAGCCCTGTTTCTTACCCAAAGATGGGACATTGCCCGTGTCTGGTTGTACCATGCGTGCGACCCTTCGTTTCCGAGTTACTCAAAGACAGATATGCGTGACTGATAATTGACGGGATCTATAGGAACCCGTACAACCAATGCGTTTAGGAAAATTGTTGATCCATTATGGAATTTTACTACAACTGGGTTTATGAAACGTTTTGTCTTTGCATGTTTGTGGTAATTGTAATTCTTATTGCTTGTCCGTTAAGGTTTTAATTTGGACTGTAGTTCTGATATTTCAGAATTTTTATATCATAAATCTTCTTTGTGTTTACGGAATTGAATATTTGTGGGAACATAGTTTGTTTCGAGGCTTAGGTTGAGACAATGTTGATATATTTTGTTACTAGCTACCCGCCCTGGCTTCGTACGGGTGCAATATGCATGTATTACTTATACATTATAAACCTTCCTTAAGAATAACTTTATCTAATAAAAAAACCGCAAAAAAATCCATTGCATAGTTTTAAAGATCTAAGTACACATAGGGACAGATAGACGGCGGATAGCGACTTTGTTTTATACTATTTAGTGATAAACAAATTAGACTGAATGTAGATTAGAACACAAAATGCACTTTACATCATATTCTATATATTTTCAGACATAAGAAACCCAGTGCCCTTATCGACAAAGCACCTTTTGCACTGCAACAAAACAGCAGTTTTAGGTACATTTTAACCAACCGCAGCTTACTAATAAAGCAAAATCAAATCAACAGCTCCTGCTTCAGTTAAATATAACTTTGCAATCGTTTAGCCAACACTGTACAAATCTATCAACATCCTTACAACGCAATCACCAAATATTAGTTCTATTGGAAGCTATGAACTCATAAACTACTAATAGAATTCTGATAATTTCATTGCATGTTTATTTAATATCGACTTTATTTCCGTTATTAACTTCTGCTGTGATTAATTGATGAGTTTTAATGGCTACTCCAGTTGTGTTGTGAACATTAAATGGTTCGTGGGTGACTAAACATGGTCTTATTGGTCAATTTAATGTACGCTTCGCATCTTCGTTTATGTTTATTAAATCTATACTTTTTTTTAAAACGTTGCTTCATTAATGGATTTCTCCTGTTTTGTGGGTGCGATTATAAATATACAAGTTCACTTACACATGACACCCAGACCCGAAACAAAATTCCCGTGCGGGATTCGAAACTGCGACATGTTGCGCGGCATCCGCTTGCCCAGCCACCAACCGTGCAATCACACCATAATTGCTTCTAAATCCTTTTCTATATCGTGAAAATATATCTAGTTAATTATATTTTTTTTCCTTTATATTTAATCGACCGACGTTGGACCAATATCTCGCCTGGTGGTAAGCGATGATGTGGTCTACAATGGTGTACTATAGCTTCAGTTTTATAGGATATTTAGTTTTCTTTCTATACGGTTTATAACTTCGTTATTACGTCTCGTATCATATATTACTTAAATATGTATATGACTGCTATGTAAAATTCTTCAAACCACCGAACAAACAAAATGAACCAGCTTTATTACCCACTACACAGAGATGTACATTGGATACTACCTATTTACTATACGCAAGCATCCTTACTCCTAGTGCAGTGAACTTAGCGTCTGGTGTAGAGAAAGTGACTCACGCCATTGTGATTTAGTTTGCTAGCTCTGTGCCAAATCTAGTCGACGCCATTAGACATTGTGCCAAAACTATCTCTTAGATACACTTCTCAGTAATTCCTAAAATGTATTTGATTGCTTTTATGGGCTTGTTAAGTATCAGGGGACAATTTTTTATTATGGATGTCATCCGTTTCAGTAGCAATTTGTCTGTCGTTTGTACTTAAGTTTGATTTAGGGATCACATTATTTGTATGTTTAGGGCGTTTTGACTAGACTTGTGTAAGGTAAATAATTGATTGTATTAGTATTTATATTTGCATATCTATGTCCTATATCATAATTGTTGTAATTCAATTCAAATTATGTCATATTTGTTTTTATTGATAGTTATGCATATTAAAGAAAGATAAAGGGAAAGAATGGATAAATTGATTGAATACCTTAGTTATTTTATGTTTTGTTTTAGAAAATTACATTAAAATACTGTATTTTCTTGTTACAGATGAACAGGAAAGAGTACAGAAGAAAACATTTGTCAATTGGATCAACTCACATTTATCGAAGGTAAGTGTTATAACTGATTTATTGTGTACTTCACTAGATAATATAACTGATTGTTTGATTGTTGACTGTTCATCGAAACAGATTGTAATTTTAAGTAGGTATAATTGTCGACCAAGATCATCATACTATAAACCTTTAATTAAGGTCATAATTACAATGTAATTTTATCTAAATCAAAATGAGATCGAATAACTGAATAATACATTGTTGTTTGTTGATCAATTGCATAGCTTTGGTGTTTACGACACAGAAGAACAGAAACTATCAAAGGCTTTTGACAGATCTAGTAAAATAACTAGTTATAGTTTTCTAAATGTTTTACTATGTTCATTACGTGGTCCATAGACAGATTAAATGAACCTCTTTCTTGCAGCGCATACCGCCACTGCACATCGATGATCTTATACGTGACCTGCGCGATGGTACCAGATTGTTGGCGCTGCTCGAAGTGTTGTCCGGGGAGAAACTGGTGGGTATACCTTAATAAATTACCTTTAAGTACATTTTACCTTAGGGTGCGGGTTCGAAACCTACCAATAACAAGTACCAATATGACTTTCTCCGAATTTTATGTACTTTCTAGGAATTTTTAGACACCACTGACAAACGGTGAAGGAAAATAACGTGAAGAAACCTGGGCTTATATTTGTTATTATAAATTTGAAATTGCCAACCTGCATTGAGCAAGCGTGGCGGTTGATGCTCAAACCTTCTCTGTGTGAGAAGAGGCCCTTAATCAGCAGTAGCCACTTATAGGCTGTTGATGATGATAATGTTGAAGTACATTTTAACTAGAGATGAAGGAAGTTAAACATGAACACGAGATCCTTTGGTTAACAGCTCATGCGACCACTCGAGCATTTTATAGATCGCTTACGAAATCCTACGTGCGCAAGACCATCTTGCTCTTCGATATTTATGTAATTTGAGGCTCCTCTTAGGTTCACCAGTTTTCTAAGTTTAGCAGTCCCTATTACACACTAGGTACGACAAACTGATGTCTTTAACTTTGAAAATTTTACCATAATAATATTATATTTTCTCCCAGCCTATGGAAAGAGGAAGCAAACTCCGACGTCCGCACTTCTTATCGAACGCGAACACTGCACTGCGCTTCCTAGCTGGCAAAAGGATCAAGTTGGTGAACATCAACGCAGCCGACCTGGTGGATGGACGGCCTGCAGTCGTACTTGGTCTTATTTGGACCATCATCCTCTACTTCCAGGTTAGATGCTCTTCCTGGTTAAATGAACAGAGAACTATAATAGTCTGGATTTACAGATTTAAGATACTAATGTTTGTCAACAAAATGTAGATTATGTGTTTAATTTCATAAAAGTTATTTTTGAAGAAAACTGTTATAATTACAATAAAGCAGATTCTGGAAGTTTTGAAAGTAAAACAGTACAATCCTATGACCTTTTTAATGAACATAGATCAAAGATTTCTTATCTAGTTACAGTGTCATTGATTCTTAATATCAAATTGCGTAAAAATCAATTAAGAAAACACTTTCACTAAAGTTTTAAATTACAACACATAAGTTAAACTTCAAAATTATCCAATTACATTAGAAAGTACATGTGTATTGTATTTCGTAATTTCACTATTTTGACTCACTGTTCACTAATCACCGTGTGTTCTAAAATAGACTTCAATTAGGATAGAACTTCCACAGTAATGAGTAGGTAGAATAGTTCTTCACTGTCCGAAAGTTTTACTGCAATTGTAAATTGAATAAGATCATTAATGTCTATACTATCTTTATCGATGGTCTCATCTGTGTTATATTTATACTCACTATGATCATTAACATTTAAAATGTCTACTACTTCGGTTATAATCAGATTGTGTATCATAGTCTGCTTCACTGAAACCTTCAATTAGACTCTTCCATATTTGGCTTCTTTGGTTTCTCATCTCCATACATTGTCATTCATAGTATGGAATTAAATTGGTTTTCTAAATTCTATTAATATCAACAGCCAATAGCAGACTATAAGCCTTATCTGTCAGCATTGTATTTTGCCCTAATTGTTTTATGAATCATTTAATGTTTACCCTTTCTCTGTAACCGCCCCTTACTGAAGTAGTTGCACTATTTAGTAACTTGTATCTAATATTAATATTATTTACGTACCATTAAAATGAGGATATACCACTAAGAATCTTTTTATTAGATTTATTGAAGACTTTTCTTGTTCAAATTTATTTTTGTTATTCTCTGTCTATTCTCATTTTAATTGGCTTGAACTAATTTTGTTTGCGCAAGCTTCGCTCAATATATTGGACCCACAGGATAGAGGACCTAAGGTGGGTAATGGCATCACAGCTTCTATAGTAGTCTGGTCTCTTGGCATTTTAATTTAAACTATTTACAAAACAATATCAATTAGTAAAATGATTGCTGGATTATTTTCGATTGCTTGACCATTAACGTTTAGCTTATAAAAAGTTATAGGTACTCTCTATACAATATTTCTTATACTCAGTGCTTATAATCTAAATATACTTTGATTGTAACATATCATTTTTATATTCCGTATCATCAAAAGCTTCTTTTGCATAAGCATTATCTTTAACGTCTATATCTATTTTATCTCGAAGCCAGAGACCATGGACTACCAAGTACTGCTATTGGTTGACTAAATTGTGTCTTACAATTTTATTGGACTTAGTATCACTGACATCACAATCGGATTCGCTAATCACATCACCTTTAGATTTTGATTGTATGATTGTCATCACTTTAAATCACTTGGTTTAAGTGTGGGAGGAAATATTAACATTAGTTGATTACGTAATGAGTAAAGTGACTGGCGCCAGTACTGGTGCTAAGTTGTTATCTTCCTAGATGTTGAATTTTTATACACGTTTTTTGATGCAATTTTTCAACTTCCTCAATTCTATTATTATCACTTCTTTAATGCTAATTTCTTAATATTTATAAATGATCTATTGTCAACTTTGCCGCACAATTTAATTCTTCAAATAGTATTATCGCCGGTCAATTTATTCATTTACGTAAATCAACACTTTTTTCCTATTAAGTCATGTTTCATCTAAACAGGTTATGTATCGAGTGACAGTTCAGGATATGTCTACAAAATGCTACCAGCAGGTTAGATTTGGATGAGAAAATGTAGATTTTTGGGTGTCGTTCCTGATTTTTCGAAATTTTACAGACTGTCCCATAAAAGGTCACGTGTCTGCTCAAATAAAATTGGTGATGCTCAATTACAGATGACATACCATTCCTGTGTTTATATTCAAATAGTTTGAACTTAAATTTGTATGAAAAGCTTTGAAGTTACGACCCCTGTGATATAGAGTACTTCTCAAAATATAGTACAAACGAGATATTGATAGTAAAAGTAGTTCTGAAGAACTACTTTTTTACACACCTATTTGTTCCCCAGCACAATAAATATTAGCGAAATTAATATCTTCGCTAATGCCACTAAAGATGACATTGTAAATATCACATCCAAACTGCTATTACTCCATGAACCTCTGCTTCTGAATCCGAAATGAATGTTGATAATGGTGAATTATCGGCTAATATTATGTCTATATCCTAATGAAATGTTGAATATCTTAGATCGAGGAGAACAGCCGGGCTTTAGAGTACCTAGGAGGGTCTCGATGTGCGTCAGTGATGTCTCATGAGTCGGGTGCGGCCACCCCGACTCAGCGAGCTGAAGAGAAGTGGAAGCAAGGCGCCAAGAAGACCCTGCTGCAGTGGGTCGCCAACGCGTTACCGAAGTAAGTTTCAGTATATCTATACTAATATTATAAAGAGGAAATATTTGTATTTTTGTATGTTTGTAATGAATAAACTCAAAAACTACTGAACCGATTGCAATAATTTTTTCACCATTCGAAAGCTGCATTATTCAGAAGTAACATAGGCTATATAATATCACGCTAGGTCCTATAGTTGTGGAGCAGTAACCAAAAATGTTTTAAAAACGGGGGAAAAGTATCGTTTCTGAGGCCTTCCGTGGCGTGCGCTGAGCATATAGTTAAAGTTATACAAAAATGTTCTATAGATGAATTGTTTATCTTAACATTATTTTTAAAAAAGTCCGCGAGAGCATATGTCTACCTTTTATAGTTTACCCATAACAATCGTTTTAATGAATGGTTCAATCCTTATAAAAGTTTGCTCTAGATAACTTTTGAATTGTTCAATCGGTTACCTTAAGACGCGACATCGACAACGGAGGGCAGGTCGCTAAAAAAACTGAGAATAAATATAAATAAAACGTAAAATTATGTAAAAAAATCTTAAGTCCCCCCGTGCGAAGCCGGGACGGGCCGCTAGTTATTTATATAGTAATAACACTAACATAATAGATGTAAAAGGTTCTTTGTGGATGTTTGACTGTCACAATCACGCTGAAAGTACGAACAGATTTTGATAAGATTTGGTATACTGCCAGTATATGGGCTGGCTTAGGTGATAACATACTATTTACATACTATCCCGATTAAATACTCGGGCCACAGTTAGTGAATAATAATATAGGTACAGAATCGAATGCTAATTCTAAAGCTAAATGAAATGTTACCTTAAGTTTATTTGTTAAGACCAGCAACTAAAAAGTTGTATAGTAATGGACGTCTAATTTCAAGAAAAATTGAATTTTTAGATCAATTAGTCACAATTGACCTAATAATAGTAGAGCAGAAGATTCTGGGTCCAATCTTAGAGTTGGGTGCATTAATATTGGGATCAAAAAGTTGAGCACAAGTTTTGCTCTCAATTACCTACATTTTTAGGAATAAAATTTGGGGATTCGGGGATTGGGGAAGGGTGGTGGACTCACTCACACGACGAAACACAACTCAAGCGTTGTTTCATGTCAGTCTTCTGCTCGGCCGTGGTATCATTCCGGTCGATCCGGGCCATTCGTGCCGAAGCACGGCTCTCCGCACTTGAACGCAAAATTAGAAGCAACTGGCAAAAGTCTACACATTCCTTTATCTTTGAAAGATTATCTGACATGATATCGTTATGGTTTACAATTTGTGCAATACGTAATTGAACGGAGAGTCCATTCTTGCCGTAATGGATTACCATACGGATAGGGCATTGTTTATTAATATTAGGAATGGATCGATGGATGTTCCAATTACAGTTGTGTTGTACTTTTGTAATCAACATCAGTCATTTCATATTTGAAAGCTTTTTTACGGTTTCGTATACAAAATGTTCCGTGTTGACCTTGTTACGTTTGTTTTGATGTTGGTTCATCTGTCTGCCTTTATATCTAAAACTAGCTACTTCCGTATGGTTTCACACGCTCTGCTCAGCTCCTATTGGTCGTAGCGTGATGTTTTATAGCCTATAGCCATCCCCGATAAATGCGCTATCCAACACAAAAATAATTATTCAAATCAGACTTGTAGTTACGGAGATTAGCGCGTTCAAACAAACAAACAAAAAAACAAACTCTTCCGCTTTATATACCTAATAGTATAAGATTACTAAATCAATTTTGATAGTTATAAACTCAAACGAATTCTATATATGAATATTGTGGTATAGCCGCCTCATTTGACCAAGGATTTCAAAATCGAATCTTCTATAATACATTGTCCAGTTTGCAACTTAAGTGGTTACAATTTAAAGTTAGATTGCAGCACATAGAATATAGTCTCTATGGATATCTTCATTCGTTTGTCTTTCTTAAATCATCAGTACATGATCGAGTGTACACTAGTCTCTTTATAAATGTAACCGTGGATGTAACGGTATGAGGAACCCACTGGCCTAAATATTTTTGACAGCTTTGACGTCAATAGCTATGACAGCTCTAGTAGTTATTAATTCCATTATTAATTTCGCTGAACGTTGCCAAGTGGCCCGAGAAATACGTTGGCGTTATTTTATTTTGCATTTATTATATATTTTGACCTCCTTGTTGAAATGTAATGCATTAACATGTTTTTATTTTACAAAAAATAAATTCATCAGACAGACACGCCACTGTTCAAGTTCAATAATTTTATTAAAACGATGGACGGTATTTGTGTATAACTATAGTATACGCTACTTGTAGCCGTCGATTGAACTCAGCGTCTATTATATTTTTAAGTTTGTAAATCACATATAAATCTTGTTCCAGGGATTCAAATATCCAAGTAACAGACTTCGGACCATCATGGCGCGACGGTATCGCATTCCTCGCCATCATCGACGCCATCAAGGCGAACCTAATCAATCTCGCCGAGATGAAAAGGAAGACCAATAGACAACGTTTAGAACATGCGTTCGACGTCGCAGAAACCGCACTCGGCATCGCCAGGCTACTGGACGCCGAAGATGTGGATGTCGACAAGCCTGATGAAAGGTCTATCATGACATACGTAGCCCAGTTCCTGCATAAATACCCTGAACCCAAGGTAAGCATCAAAACTACTTACTTAAGCAAAAACTATGCCCAAATTTGAATGAATGGCAAGCTATTATCAATAATTGTTTTAGATACGATTGTGTCCACCCCATAAAGAATAAAGTAATAACACATTAGCATAGCTAATGCGTGCTTCAGAATTAAACAGTCAACACACGTGATTAGCGTGAATCACCGTGACAAGTCATACATTACACACGTATTGTTTTTATTTTATGTTTAAACAAGTGTTCATCATTACACAATATTCAACAATATCGCTGTTTTGTTCCCTCTCCAGACGACAGGACCGGATGCCGTAGCGGCAGTGCAAGAGGAGTACGAATCTCTTAGAATGTGGCTGACGGAGCGCGTCACCACAGTTCAAAGGCAATACGACTCGCGAACACTCTCGCGACACTACGAAGATTACGTGCGCGCTGAGAACGAACGGCTCGCGCGGGAACCCATCTACCAGAAACTAGAGAAACTCATGTACACGCAGAGCCTTGTAGCGATCGCGCCAAAGTCGTGGCGCGAACTAGTGTCCCTCTGGATAGAATTAGAAAGACTGCACAGAAGATGGCTGTGGCTCTTAGACGCAGAACTCCCCGGAGACTTTAAAAATGTCGGCGAATGGTTAGCGAGGGCCGAATACCTTTTATACTTTGACGAAATCCCCACTAGCTTAGACGAGAGGACCGCTGCTATAATTAGCGAGAAGTTAGAGGAACACAGCGGCTTCTTTGCTGGATTACCAGAAGTTATTGACAGATTCGAAGCGGCTTTAAGATCACCTGATGCCGCTAGAATACCTCGTGAAAGACTCCAAGACATGAAGGAGCGACTCGAGACAGTAAGTCGAAGAGCTCCACAAAGAAAGGCTAGGTTAAAGTACTTGGAGCACAAATGTTGTATTGTAGCCTTCACAGAGCTGACTAAAGCCAAACTTGCCGCGTGGACCGGCAAATACGGTCGCATCGACCACGTTCGTGCCTTATTAGAAGATTATGATAATTTCGTAACTAAGAATAAGATTTTCCAGGAGTTTGATAGAGCTTACGTTGATATTAAGCAAGTAGCGGAGGAATATAAGAGGGTGTGTGAAGTAGATAGAACTGAAGCGAGGGATATTGATATGTTCTTGAAAGACGTCGCCGAGACGTGGCGACGCGTGGCGTCCGACGTGCGCTGCGCCAGGAGCGTGCTGGAGGAAGTCATCGCGCACTGGGAGCGCTGGAACACCCTGGCCGACGACTTCACCGCCTGGCTGGACAAGGCGCAACACATGCTCAGAGTATCAGAAGACGAGAGACTAGAGTTCTTCCACGACCTGACGGTTTGGAAGGAGAAGCATCAGTTGCTGGGTGACGCGGCCGGGTTCCTGGCCGCGACCTCCTCGGAGGACATCAGCCAGGAAGTGAAGAGAAAGTATGTAGAAATCACTGAACGATGGGAACGTGTGTGGGAAGAAGCTGAGAGGTTAGTAAATCTTTTTTAATTGGTAATTGTCATTTAACACTGCAAATATTGACTTACGTAATTTATCGACTATTATTACGATTAAAATATTGGACTATAAATAAAAAAGTAGTCATACGCTGAATTCTAAGAATATTTACATAACTGATAAAGTGATAACGACATTATTAATCCAATCTTTACCAAGAATTGAGTCTTAGCAATACATAATACTATATCAATGTTTTCTAGGAATTTCTAGTATCTGCCTCTAAAGGATTAGTTTCAATGATATTAATGTTATTCTTATTTTATTTAGTAAAACATTCGCGATAAAATTGATCACATAAAGTTGGTAACATCGTTGTTACATCTTCTTATTCTATTATATGATTGTGAGTAATCTACTTATTCTACTATATAATGATTGACGGTAATTGAACTAAACTAAATTCAATTTTAATAGAATTGATCAATGAATATTAGAATTTCTTAATCGTTATGCTTTTGGCAACTGAATTTATTTCTTCTTCTCGTGTACCGTACATTATATGATACATAAAGTACATCGAGCCAGGTCCAAAACTGATAAACGTGTTTGAACATGCAAGGTACGTCCGCGGCGGCGATGCCCTCCGCAACCGTCGGTCGCTGGCGGCGGGCGTGGGCGCGCTGGACGGCTGGCTGGCGGCCGCCGACGGCACGCTGGGCCGCACGCCGCGCGCCGCCACGCGCGACATACAGGCCTACATCGACCAGCTCCTGCAACTCAACTCCGAGATAGAACACCATGAGGAGCTCTTCAAGAATATTAGCAGGTTCGTATTCCAAACTTTTCACACAGATAACATCAATAGTGTGAATGCCATACACCTTAAACTGCTTAAATGTCATTCGGGTCATATGCTGGGGCCACACCCACATTAACGTTGAACGTGAATGTCCATTATCACGATAATTATTGCAATAATTTTAACGGCATCAATATTATCATAGTAATACATATTTTATGTAGGTTTATAAATTGGAATTGGAACCGTTGTTGAAATTGGAAAAACACAAATTAACATTTCAAATCTTGGGTTTTAACGCATTAAATAATTGAATTTTAAATATTCTTCTTGCAGAACCTTCCAAAACGCAATTAATGAAATGCCTCGCGATGAGGTAGAACAAAACATGTCAAAGCTCAAGCAACAGAAAGAGGCACTGGTCCGCGTCAGGGCAACAGTGCCAGTCAAACTGCACCAGTACAGGCAACTGCTGGTACAGCATGAGTCGCTGGAGAGCGGACAGAAGGAGATTGGCGCCTGGCTGGACAAGGCTGAAGAGGCATTGAAGAGTGGAGGAGAAACCAGACGGTAAGTTATCTACCTAATGGTTTAGCTATACAAATGAACATATCAAAAAGTAAACTGTCTGACCGTATCACCTGAGTAACTGAATTAATGCCACACAAGCCAGCAACTTTGACAATAGGGTAGACGACTAATTTTTATTTTAATGTCCGTCTGGTAGATTATTTAAAAACATTAGACACGTATTTTTTCTTTTCTCACAGAAACGAATAGTTTCGAAGATATATTGATTTGAAATGTCGCGTGACGTCACTTCTCAGTACATTTTATACTAAGAAATGACGTTTTAGCCCCCACTCCTAAACTTTGATTCGTTTTATCTCAGTATTGTTTTATTATACGACAAAATAAAAAAATACGTGTCTAATATTTTTTCATTACCTAACTTACGGACTAATTATATTTTTAATTTTCATACCCTGTCATCATCCCCATTGTTAATTTTGATCAAAAAAACAGAGTGATTAATCACGCCATTAAACTTTAGTTCTTTAATCTAAGACTATATACTATAATCTACTATAATCTAAGACGATATCTAACTTCATTAATCTAAGAAGCTGACACACCATCACTAGTATAGATAGCTTGTCAGGATCTTGGCTTCACAACATAACATAACTTCTTCTTCTTTACTCTTTACTTGTTCCACAGTGAGGTGATCTCCGAACGCTACGAGATCCACCGCACGTTCTTCTCCCGCACCACGTACTACCGCTCCATGCTGGAGAGTAAGAACAAAGTCTTCCAGAACATCGTCAAGTCTGCTGACGCTGACAGGAGCGCTGACGTCACCGAGCAAGTCAGACTCATGAGGGACCTTAATGAGAGGTGAGCAGATAAACATGATTAATGGTGATGAATAATGGTATATTCTAGATTCAATATTAGGTATAATGTTTCGAAGTATGAACGGAAAATTATGGGTTTTTAAAAAGTAAGAATATAAAGTTTCTGTTTCTATCCTAACCAGAGTGCCAAGCACGAATAACTATCGCATTCGTATCGTAACAGTATCGAGCGAGTTAAGCGTTCTGATTGGTTGGTTCACTTGAGTCGGCCAATCAGAGCGCCGATTACCGCCGTTATTCGTTCGCTTGGCCCTCAGTAGACTGTACTGTAGATAATGCTTTTACTGTAACATAGTCAGGATTTTGTTTATTTTGAACCCATTCTCATGATAAATACTTCTGTCATATCAGGTTCGCCCACGTATCATCTGAAGCTACGCGTCGTGAGGCTGACCTACAACGCCTGGTCCGTGCCTGGGATGACTTCGACGCCAAGAAGCGAGCGGTCGAAGAGTGGGCCTCCCGGGCTGAGGCACTCCTGGCAGACAACAGGGTGGACTCTAAACAAGCTGTGGACTTCCACAAGAGGTTCTTCCAAGGAGCTGATGAAAGAGCCGTCTCTGAGCTGGTTAGGTCTGGCCGGGAACTTATTGAGGTTGGTTTTGATACTCCAGTACACATAAATGAATCAACTTCTACTTTAAAATCCTTCTTCTGTATATCTGTGTCGTGTATAAAACCCAGAATTACAACTAGCTGATACATCTTCGAGTGCTAAGTTACCAACTAACACTAACTTACTACGATTACCAGTTTCCAATAGATTTTTCTAATCATCTCCAATTTCCAGTTGGTGAACGAAGAAGATCGTCCCCGCATTGTCCAGACAGTGGAACAGCTGCAGCAGCGCTGGAGATCACTGCTGGACAAGGCACCGCCTCACCTCATGCGCCTGGAGTTCCGCCTGGATGAAGCCGTCTTCCAGCACTGCATCAAAGATATTGAGAAGGAGATCGTCTATGAGGAACAGGTGAGAAATCGATACTAGTTTATTGTTGAATCTCCGCCATCTTAGATTTTTAGAGTTCATATGACAGTATTAATTTTGGGCTTTAAATTAGAAAATCGCGGTTTAGTTTATGCCATGTCTGGCATAGATGGTATTTAAATAATGTAAACATTACCAACAATAACAAAAATAATACAATGAAGTACTAAACAACTGGACACGCTACAGTGTTGACAGTAGAATATCAAATACAATTGAGTAAATAAAATATTTAACTACCTACGTGACCTTGACCTACTAAACTTCATATATAATGTAAACGCTGGTTTCAAGGACAACTGACTATATAGTAAAATATTTCGTTGTAGTTTATATTTTACTGGTGGATTTTTTTTGTAAACATTAGAACATGATTTGTTCAACTATATTTTAACAAAATTGAATGTTGATAAAATCTGTTCATGAATTCACTTTGCTCTGAATTCTAATTCAGTTTTTATTTTACGGAACATTCCAAAAATAGCTAGGTTATTTGAAACTCTGCTAATAACTCTAACTTTCCACAGGCATACAACCAAAGCGATGACGCCGACGGCATTCTCATCCGCAACGAAGAATACTTCCGCAACCAGGGCAAGATCATGCAGGTGGAGCATTGTCTCCAGAACTTGCACAAGATCGCCACCAGCTACACGCACCAGACTGCCGACACCACGCTGGAGGACTCCGTGCGGAACTGCGAGCACTTGTGGGAGGCCACCGTACTACGGGTGGAACACTTCAGGCAACAACTGCAGAGGATCCCCGCCAAGTGGGACGCCTACAGGGACAAGTTCAGGGACATGGAGCACTGGATGGACCATGTCGACAAGACCATGGACAGCATCGTCAGGGAGGTGGACTCGGCTGAGGCGTTTGAACGCGAGAAGACTATCTTCCAGGTACGGTAGTTATAGTAAGGAGTTTATTTAATAATGTTAGAATAAATGTAATACGTATTATGATTTTTCTATTGGTAGCATTTTCAAATTATTATTTTTTCTTTCTTCATTATGCTTACTTTGGAAATAGTTGAGGGAACTTATGGTAAATATTTCAATCTCAATTTTATTCAATCTCGGATTTAGATATTTTTCTGAACCGCATATTGAAAGATATGTACAATAACTAATTATTTCTTTTTAGAACATATGCCGTGAAGCTGACAAAAAACGTGAAGACATGAAGTGGCTCGTCCAGACACTGGACATGCTCACTAACCACTGCTCAGAAGCTGAGGCTCAAGAAGAACAAATACGACTTGAAAACCTTATTGCAAGATATAAGAACCTTATCCCAACTATTGAGATCACGATGATAAAGACTGAGACTTACACACGATGCTACACATACCGCAGAGAGGTCCACGAAGTCATCTGCGTACTCGAGAGCGCCAAGGAGCAGGCCTTGGTGACCCCGGAGCCGCAGTCGCTGCAGCACGTCGAGCAGCTCGTGCTGGAACAGCAGGCGGCTGTACAGAAGCTGGACCGACACCGACCTTCCGTCATGTCCATGCTGCAGAGGGGAAAGGAACTCATCAGGGACGCCAACGCTCCTGCCTTCGTCAGGGAGGACGTTAGGAACCTTGAGACTGGCTGGAACACTGCCTACGAGACATCCACTGACCGCCTCCACAAGCTGCGCGACACTCAGAAGGTCTGGTCTAACTATGAATATCAAAAAGATGAGCTGTTGTCAGACCTCGACAAATACGAGAGCTACGTTGTCCACCCAGGCCTTGAACTTGGAGTCACAAACATCGGCCGTGAGCTCCAAGAAACAAAGACGGTTAAGACTGACATTGAAAAGGCCAAGGCGGAACGACTTCCTCAACTGCAGAAGGCTTACACTGAACTACGTTCACTTACAGCTGACAAACCGAAACCAGTCATCGAAAAAGATCTAGAGACTATTGAACGCAAGTTGGTGAGAGTTCAAGATGAGGTTGACAGCAAGGTCGAGCATTTAGAAAAGTTCAACCAAGAGTGGGTTAAAATTGAACACAAATTGGAACATGTCAGAGAATGGATCAAGAAGGAAAGTCCTATACTAATCCAACAGATTCGCTCAGAAAACATTACACCTGAAGAAAGAGTAATAAAATCTCAGTCACTACAGAAAGTAATTGCTGAGAAACTGGATGTCATTCGCGGTGTTGCCGATCAAGGAAGTAAGTTGGCTGTTGAACACAGAGTCCAAGATGCCAACAGGCTCAAGGGTGAAGTAGCTTTACTAGAGAAAATGATGGCTGACTTACAACGTTCCACAGAACACCAGACAAAGGTAGTAGAGCACGACTTGGCGACCTACCAGAAGTACCAGAAGGGTGTTGCTGAAATCAAACCATGGATCGAAGAAGCTGAGTTGAAACTAGGCAACGTGCCCAAACCTACCACTTTGCCTGAAGCACAACAATTGCAACAACAATCGAGAGCACTGATTACTGATTGTGAGAAACAACTGATGAACGTCCAAATCTTATCGAGTGTCAGCCATCAACTGTCCTCTAAGTCCATCAATGCCCCAGATGAAGTGGACGCTATACACTCCAGATGGGCAGTTGTCCATGACTTGGCTGACCAGTGGAACAACAAACTCGACAAGCTAGTCACCAACTGGGAGAACTTTGAACGAGAGGCGGACAAACTTGAAACTTGGATTGAAAATGGTGAAAAGTTATTGAGTAGCAAAAACGTATCCATCGACTCGCCTCAAGTTGAAAAATTAGATAGGGAACTAAATAAATTAAAGTCCTTTGGAAATGAAATTTCACAACAGCAAGCTAAGATTATCAGCTTATCTCAGACATGTGATAACATTTGTCATAATATTCAGCCAGAAGGAGCCACTTTACTCAAGAACAAAGTTTCGGATATTAAACAACGCACTAATGACCTGGCTGAGACAGTTAGGTCCAGAGTCAATGAACTGTCCGACAAAATCATTGTCAGACAGGAATTTATGACCAAACTGCACAATTTCGACAACTGGATCACTGATTTCAGAAGGAAGACAGAAAGCTACGACCAGATTGGCGCAGACAAAGTGGAGCCAACTCTTCAGTCGATGCACGTTCTCTTACAAGAACATGCGGCTAAGGCGCCTGAATTCGCTGACATCTACAATGAAATCAAGAACATGACACTTGCTTCTCACCCAGATGAGTCACGCTCATTAAGCGAGACGTACTCTAATATCGCCGAACATTACCAGATCATTGAGAACAACATTCAACAAAATAAGGGTATCCTACAGAAGTGGTCTGATTTACTAAACTGGTACGATGAATCAAAACAACAACTGAACCATATTCAGTACCAAGTCGAAGGCCCTAAACTCACACCAGAAAGCTATGAAATATTAAGACAAGAGCTTGTAAATGTTATCACCAAAATACCTGAATGGAAGAGCAACGTGGCTTTGTTAGATGGGCCATCTAAAGTTAAGGTTACTGACCAGAATACTGGCCGTATCATGTCACCTACCAGCATCGTTAAGGAAATTGAAATGAAAGCAGAAGCTTTATTAAACCAAGTAACCAATAAGAGAGACTTAGTACAGAAAGTTGGCGCTAGATGGGACAAGTTCAATATACAACATAATGCATTGGGAGAAGTGCTACATAACGTTCAAACCATTCTCAATGAAATGGCTCAGAAACCCGTGCCCTTAACTGAAGCTACTATCCAAGACATGACAGAACAATTGGACAAATTAGACGCTGAAATGAAAGAGAAACAATCAATTCGTAAAGAACTAAGGGAGGAAGGTCTTCACTTGATGAGAGAGGATCAGCCGAACATGGGAACAATTCAGAATGCCTTGTCTACTGCTGATAATAACTGGGACCAAATAGTGAATGCAGTACGTGACACCAAGAATAAGTACATCTTGTTATCTTCAACCCTTCACGAATTGAAGAACTTTACAGTAGCTTTTGACAGAGAAATGGGCAGAGCTGAACAACTGTACAATGATTGTAAAGATGCTCCCAATGATTATGTCCAAACGGGCCAAGCTTTAGAAAAGGCTAAGAAGTCGTACGAGATTCTTAAGAGATCTAAGGGACTTTTAGATCAAATGGATGTGATCAAACAATCCGTACTAAAACAAGCTTCTACATTAGGAGGATTCGACACAAGCCCGTTAGAAGAGGCCTTCCTGAATTCTCAAACGCACTGGGAGAAGGTAAATGATGCTGTTATCAAAAGAATACAGGACTTGGAATCTCAATTGATCGTTTGGAGACAGATTGATGACACAAAGAACCAAGTAATCGCCTGGCTAAGTGAAACTGGCCAGAACTTGGCCAACGCCTGTGATAACTTAGAAATTAGATTTGGACAAAGCCATCTTACGAAGTATAAGGAGGAATTGCCAATATACACAGGTCTTAAAAACAGTATCAAGGCCAAATGCGAACAGATTACCAATCTGAATAAGAGTATCCCTATAGGTCAAGTTTCTTCCATCATTGATTACTTGGACAACGAATTTGCCGCTCTTCAGTCTCTGGCTGATAACTTAGAAAGCGCAGTATCTTCTCTGGGTACCAAGGAAACTAAATTGAAAGATCATATCAAACGCCTTTCAGACAATGTCAGCAAGATCCGCGATGATATTATCAAGTGCGACGACATGACAGGTGATAATGCTAAGATTCTTGACCGATTGAAGAAATGTCAAGCTTGCAAAGCCGAGCTCCAGAACTTGAACGATGAAATTGATAACTTATCTCAAAGTGTCTCAGAGATGAATGATAATTATCCAGGTTTCTACGAGTCTCTGGTGCCTAAGGAACTGAGTACTCTTCAAAAGAGATTCGAGAGTGTTTTGATACACGCAAACAAAACGGAAATCACTCTACTCACGTTCTTGCAAAAACTCTTCACTGACAAATTAGCGATGTTCAACAGGAATCTAAAGATATTAGATGACAAAACAAGATGGTGCATGCCTGATGTCACAAGTGATAAATATAATTTAGAAGTCAAAAACGCCGCTCTTGTTGATGTCGAAAACGGTATTGCTGACTGTAGAGCCAAAGTTGCCGAGTTAAAAGAAGCTCGTGATATTCTCAAAGTTGTCGCAGAGCCCGCCTGTGCTCAAGAAGCAGCTCAACAAACTGAAAAAGCCCAAAAGAATCTGGATGTTCTTAATGCTAACTACGAAGAAATTAAAAACAGATTAAAAGAAAACATTGACGCTTGGCAAGAGTACGAAGTACTATTAGAAAATGTCTCAGAGTGGCTGAAAGAGAAAGAGAACAAAGTCAGACAAGAAGCTGCCAACCTCCTTAATCTGGACGAAATTGATTCCAAAATTGCCGAAGTTGAAAAACTTGACCAAGAAATTAAGGAATATGGTGGACAAGTCAGCAAGCTTACAGAAATAGGAGAAAAGATTTTATCTCGTAATCCAGACTCGCGTGTTCTACAACATATCAATCATTTAGTCTCTAGGTATCAGACTGTTGGTAAATTTATGGAGAGTCATCTTAACAGACTTAAAGACCTGAAAGAAAACAAAGCTAAATATGACAAATCCATTGCTGAATTCAAGAACTGGTTACAGGATGCCAATGGTAAGATTAAAGATTTAGCTGTAATGAGCAAGCACGCTAAACCATCAGCAGCTGATCTAGCGCAAGTAAAGAAACTCAACGAAAACAAAGATGTTGGTCAGAAACTTCTCAACAATGCTATTGGATCTGGTGAGGCTCTATTCAGCGGTATTACGCCAGAATGCCGTGAACAAGTAAGAAATGAATTGAGAGCTCTTAGGGATTACTTTGAGGATTCCGTCGATTCACTGAACAATGTGATTAAAGACATCGAAACAACAATCAACAAGAGATCATCATTTGATGATACCTTCAATCAAGTTCAGAAGTGGATCGGTGACAAGGAAAAGGAACTTGGTGAGTTTAAACTTTGTCCTACGTTACCTGAAAAGAAAGCACAACTTCATGCTAACAAGATACTACACCAAGAAGTCGAATTACATCAATCGATGCTATCACAACTAACTGAGAAGATCAAGTTGATGCCTGATGAAGAAGCAGAAAAGAGTCTTTCCAAGACAATTGAGAGATATAGAAATATGTCTAAAGAGCTAGAAAAGAGAATTGCTACGTACGAATCTCACGTAGCCGATCACGAAAAATACGTCAGCATGTTTGAAGACGTCCGTGACCGCCTTAATCACATCGTAGCTGAAAACAGTATGCTCAATTATGGATCTGTTACTCAGAAAGATGATGTCGACGCAAAGATTTCTGCAATTGAAAAAGTTTCATTAAAGGCTCAAGACATTCAGAACAACCTAAGTGGTCTTAAATCACAACTTGAAACTGTTGTAGAAACTACGCATCCTAATGGACATCCAGTGCTCATCAGTGAGTATGAACAGCTCAAGGTTATATGGGACCAATTAGCAACACAATGTAAGGAACAAGATAAGAAACTAAAAGATACTCTTAAGCAATGGACTGAGAGTCAGAAGACTTTGGACGAACTCGAAGAATGGTTGAAGGTCAAAGAAAACCAAGTCAGAGACCAAAGTCTTAAGAGTAATCTAGAGGCTAAGATTGCTCACTTACAAAAAGTCAAAGAGATTCAAAGTGAGCTGGCTTCAAGAAGTGCTGATTTTGCTGCCTTGACTGACACTAAACAGAACGTTGCTACTGAATCTGAACTGTCAAACAAGACATCGAAGTTGGCGACAAGATATCACACTCTCAACAATCTTGTAAACGAAATCATTTCCAAGTACGAAGTATTCGTATCAGAACACCAGACGTTTGAAAATGAATACAATAACATGGAGAACTGGCTCCTGGGCATGCTGGGTGAACTACAAGATCTTAATGAAATTGTGGGAGATTACGCTGTCTTACAAGAAAAGCAAAATAAAGCTAAGGAACTCTACGAAACCAGGAATAAGAAGACTCCTGTTTTCGAAGAGTTCTTAAGTTTGGGTGAAAAGTTATACACACATACTAGCCCAGATGGCAGAGAAGTTATTCGTCAAAAGATTCGCAAAATCAGAACTTTGTGGGATAGTTTCGGAGACAGCTTCCAAGAGACTGTTAACAAATTAGACCAATGTCTCCTTCAGTTCTCAGATTTCAGCCTCGCTCAAGAGCAACTTACTAAATGGCTTAAGGATGTAGAAAGAGCGATGCAAAGACACACTGAACTAAAGGCTTCTCTTGAAGAGAAGAAAGCTCAATTACAGAACCATAAGATTATGCACCAAGAGATTATGACTCACCAGCAATTAGTAGAATCTGTCTGTGATAAAGCTCAACAGCTGGTGGACCAGACACACGACGCTTCTTTGAATGTTTATTTACAATCTATTAAACAATTATTCCAAAATATTGTCACAAAATCTCAGAACCTGCAAGACAATTTAGAAGACTGTGTGAAGAGACACGAAGATCTCGTGCGACTCATTCAACAGTACAAAGAATGGCTTGGATCTCAATCTGAAAAACTTCTTGATATTGAGAATGCAACAGGTGAAAAGCCTGAAATCATCAGGAAACTGCAATCTGCTATCGCATTGAAGGACATCGAAAAGGTTGGTTCAAGCAAACTTGACGAAATTAGAGCAGTCTTCTCCAATGTTAGCAAGAGCACATCCGAAGCCGGTAACACAGCTATTAAGGCAGAAATTGATAACTTACATGACCAATTACGTAATGCTGTCGAAAATATTGCAACTTCAGAACAGAAACTTAAACATACATTGGATATTTGGAACAAATTCGACTCTTCCATCGAATCTATTACTGAATGGCTGAAAGATATGGAATCAAAATGCCGGGACCAAAGCCTTTGCTCAACTCTCAAAGACAAAGAAGCCCAGTTGCAAAGATATGTTGACCTGCGTAACAACATCAACGCGAAAGAGAAGGAAATTGACGCATTTGTCGATGAATCCCACAGTCTGATTCAACTTAGTGGTACAGAGCGTCTTAAGCCTCTAGTTACTCAAGTGAGCAGCCGTTACCAACAGTTACACCTTATCTCTAAAGAAATCGTCAACCATTGGTCAGAGCTTGTCGCTGATCACAGGAAATATGCTCAACTTCGTAGTGAATTCGACGCATGGTTGAAACCATTGGAAGAACAGCTGTCCCAAATGGTCACTAAGGAAGACAAACTGAGCATAGAAAGCAAGGGCAATAAACTTCAAGTGTTCTTAATGGAAAGAGAAAATGGTGAACACAAAATAGCAATTTTAACCACAGCTGGTGATAAAGTACTACCTGAAACTGCCGCCAACGGAAGAGAAAATATCCGAGCAGAAATAAGAGCTCTAAGAGAAAGATGGGACAAACTTAATGATACTATCCTTCAACAACAGAAAGAATTCGAGTCTCAAACACTGCAATGGTCAAGCTATCAAGATGTCTTGCAACAGACATTGGCTTGGTTGGATGAAAAAGAGAAAATCGTTGATGCCGAAGAAAAAGCCGTGCTTAACTCTGCTCAAGAGATTAAATCTAAACTATTGAAGAACAAAACATTGTTGCAGGAAATTTATTCTCATAAGAGAGTAATTGAAACTGTAACTGAGAAAGCCAAGAGTGTATCAGCTACGCTTCATTCAGGAAAGGGAGAGAGCGATGAAATGACAGCTATCATTAAATCTGTTTGGGATAGATACAATGCCCTAACAAACAGATTGACAGGCATCATTGATAAACATGAAAGCACATTCGACATCTACCAACAGTTCGCTGACCAACAGAAATCTCTTCAGGATTACCAAAAACATCTTTGGGACCGCCTACATCTGCTATCAGATTACAGCGGCAACAAAGCTGCATTGCAGAGTAAATTAGGTAAAATCCAAGAGTTGTTGGATGCAATTCCAACTGGAAACAACAAATTGAAGATTCTGTCAGATCTTATTGAGAAGAACAATGCTAGACTTTCACCTAGAGGCAGAGATGGTATGTCTAGGGAGCTGAGTCTGCTAAAGGCAGATTTGGAGAAGTTTACAGCTACCGTTCATGATGTCAAACGAGGAATCGAAGACAAGATACAACAGTGGATCGAGTTCGACAGCGCTAACGAGCGCTTACAACACTGGTTGAGTGACACTGAGATGAGCCTGAAGACCTACACGCCTAAAGCAACCCTGGAAGAGAAGGTGGATCAACTGAACAAATATCAGGTATGAATATTTGAATAATTCTTTTTTCATCTATTTTTATTTCACTTTTGATTTATTTATATGAATTTTAAAACAGGATTTATGTAAAGCGATTGATAATCACGACAATGATTTGAGCGCAGTCATTGCTTTGGGCGAAGCCTTGGATCAAGTAAGAGTTAATGGAAGAAAAGAGTCTTTTATCGTCAGCACTGTAGGAAATAGCCTAATTTTCAGTAGATCTTACCTAATTTCACGAAAGTAATATTCATAGATATCTAACAATAAATTATAATATTTATATTTACTCGTATTTTGTGGTTGACTACGATACTTCAAGTTTTTCTATAAATTAATTTATATTTGATACTAATATAGAGGCATTGGTTATTGGTACTTCTAATGCTGAACGAGTTTATTAAAGTCTAACTGTCTCGATGATGGTACTAATGGTAGTTGTCGTAGCTCAGTTTAAACGTAATCTTTCAATTTTACTATTTCTTCTGACTAACACATGTTATTTTTCAGGCTATCTTGGCTAACTTGAAGAAGACCGAAAATGACGTCGATAAACTATCAGATGAGTTCAGTGACCTCATAGAAAACTGTAATGATACTAGAATCACAATGAACTTACAACAGATGACGTCACGATTCCAATCCGTACAGTCCACGGCAAAGGAGCTTGTTAAGAAATGTGAGCAAGCCGTAAATGATCACAATGCCTACCAGGAGAAATACAATCAATGTACTGATTGGTTGAAGGCGGCTCAACTTAAATTTGATGAATGCAATGAGAATTTGTCTAACACACCAGAAGGAATCAGCGCTAAACGAGAGAGCCTCAACGACTTACTTAGTCAAAGACGTAATGCTACCCTTCTTGTTAACAACACGTTTGAATTGGGAGAGAAATTATATCCTTCCACGTCGCCTGAAGGTAAAGAAATCATCGAACAGCAATTGCATGAAATACAACAAGCCATTGATAACCTGTACGATAACATCACAAAGGCTGAGAGGGACCTTGACTCCGAACTTAACAAATGGTCCTCGTTTGAAGACAACCTTAAAAATGTGCAGCAATGGCTGACAACTGCTGAAAAGAATTTACCAAAGGAAATTGAACTAAAGGCAACTTTAGATGAAAAACGCAATCAACTAAACGTTTATAGGACATTCCTTCAAGACGCTATTGCTCATCAACAAGATATTGCTGACTTAGAGTCTCGTGCTCAGTCTCTACCTGATGTTAGTAAAGACATTGCTAAAGAAATCAAACAGCTTAAGCAAAGGCATGAGACTATTTTGTCAAGAGCTAAATCCTTCGTGGAACAATATGAAGCCATTGTAAATAACCACCAACAATACACCAAGGCTGTTAAGGACTTGGAGGAATGGGTTGAGGCCACTCATAATACTGCTCAACTGTGGGGAGATGTCAATCTTGAACGTGTAGCACTCAGCAGCAATTGCGAGAAACTCAAATCTCTGCAACTCAGCCTGCCTGAAGAGAAGAATCGTATTGACAAGATTCGTTCTCTAGGTGAAAAGGTGTTACCAGGAACCATTAGCACTGGCCAAGCTAATATCAGAAACCAGATTGACGCTTCTCATCAAGAATGGGAAGGCCTTGTATCTTTCATCAATAAGACTATCGAAGCATTGGAAAACAAGATTCAACAATGGAACGAATACGAAAATATGAAAGACCAGTGCTTGGCTTGGATCAGAAATACAGACAACCAGATCCATGCTGTTGATTTGAAAGCTACTCTACCAGAGAAGCAAGAACAATTCAAGAAATTCCAGGAGTTACAAGGTGAAGTCCGCGCTAAAGAGCTTGAGATTGACAACATCACTGAAAAGGCTCAACACCTGCACACTGGCGTGTTCGGACCACGTGCTTCACAGATTTCGGATCTGTCTGTGAAATATCAAACTCTTTCGCAAAAAGTCAAGGATTTGACGAACAGATGGCAACAGTATGTCAAGACGCACCAAGAATTCGCCAGCAATGTTACTGAATGCTCACAATGGATCGAAGAGCTGAGAGATAAACTAGACTTTTGCGCTGATTTGAGCTCTTGTTCTCAGGATGATCTGGAAACTAAATTAGTATTGATCCAGAACTTGCTTCTTACAAAGGATGAAGGTTTTACTAAAGTTCAGTCTCTTGTAGAATTAGCTCAAAATGTTATGGCTAATACAGCACCTGCTGGTCACGAGGCAATCAACAACTCATTGGTCGCCTTGCAAGAGCAATGGTCCGCGTTACTGTCCAGAATGATTGAAACTAAGAACATGTTGGATGACTCAGTCACCAAATGGGCTGGGTTCCTTGAACAGATACAACTCATTGAGAAGAGTAACACTTATCTCGAGAACATGTTAGCTGAACTGACGCCTTACGAATCATCTATGACAGACAAGAGAGCACAACTTGAGAAACTTAAAGAAGTGGAAGAGAAAGCCCGCTGTGATCGTCTTGACGTAGATACATTGAAGGCGAAAGCAGCTGAGATGATTGCAAGTGGCCAACAAAACCAAGCCGCGTCTCAAGCTCAAGAAACTTTGAGTAAATTCGATAATCTCTATGATAAGATCAAAAAATTACTTGCTGACCGCGAAGAACAATACAAAGACCACAGATTGTATAAGGAAGCGCATGATGAACTTATCCAATGGTTGAGCCGAGCTCGAGAAAAGGTACCGTCCTTGAAATCTAAGCCATTGAGCGACAAACTGGCTATTGAAAATTCTGTAGCGCCCCTTGATGCCTTAATTAATAAACAGGCCCAAGGAGAGCTTTTATTAGAGCATTTGCAACATACTGGCGAAGTTGTCCTCGCTAGCACTTCACCTGAGGGTCAAACAATCATCAAAAACGAAATGAAGGCATTGAAAGAAAGCTTCGATGATCTCTTCAATGAAATCAAACAACAAAAGAGTCAACTAGAAGATACTGTTAATCAGTGGCGAGAATACAAAGATGAGTATGAAAGATTATCTGACTGGCTTCAACAAAAAGAAATCCTTATCAAGAACCAGAAACTGGCGTTGCTAGGTACTGCCAAGGAGAAGGGTGGACAAGTGAATGAAGTAAAGGAAATCGTAGACCAACTTAACAAAGGCAAAGCGGACATTGACAAGTTCAATGCTTCTGCGTCTGGTCTCCTAGCTTCACACTTGGACACCTATGTCAACAACCAGCTACGTCATCTAAACTCAAGATACCAAGTTTTGGTGAATATGGCCAATGACGTCCTCAAGAAGGTCGAAACAAACTACGAACAACACCAGACCTATGACGACAACTATGCCAAGACCAAGAAATGGATCGATGACGCCTGGGAGATTACACGCAGTGGCAGTGAAGCTGGTAGTAACAGCAGCAAGGAAGCCCTACAGAAGCGCCTTGAACAGATAGAGGACTTACTCAAACGCCGCGAGGAAGGCCAGAACTTGGTACACGCCACTGTTAACAGCGGAGAAAAGGTTCTCAGAAATACAAGGTCTGACGGTAAAGACAAGATCAATACTGAGCTCAAAGAACTGCAAAATGAGTGGGACCGTCTCGTCAAGAAGATGAGTACTGCTAAGGTTCACCTGGAAACAGCCTTGCTCCAATGGGCCGACTATAGCTCAAGTTATTCGCAACTTCAACAATGGATATCCGACAGAGAAGCAAAACTCCAAGAAGTGTGTGAACAAAAAGTCGCCAAATCTAAAAAGGGCCAAGACCGACTTGCCGGACTCACGACTGGTCTTAGCCTGGGCGAAAGGAAAGCCACACTCCGTCAAACAAACAATATTGTGCAAGATATCGTTTCGTTTGAACCCATGATTCAGTCTGTAACTTCTAAGGCTTCGGAACTTATGCAACAGGCTCCAGCGTCTGAGATTACCAGCAAATACGAGACTCTATCTAAGCAAGCTAAAGACTTGTACGAGAAACAGAGAGAAACCGTAGAACAACATCAAGCTTTCATCGATGCTGGCTCAGACTTCGTCCAATGGATTCGAGCTGCTAAAGAGAAGTTAGGAAAGTGCTCTGACGCTACCGGTGACAAAGAATCATTGAGTAGTAAGATTTCACAACTGAAAGTATTAGAAAGCGAGCTGCCTGAAGGTCAAGCGAAGCTGCAGAAAGCTCTGGAATTGGGCGAGATATCTTGCGGCTTAGCTGACCACGAAGATAGAGAAGAAATTGAAGAAGAAGTAGCTCTAATGCAAGAAGAGTACGATACCTACGTGTAAGTATTTTAAAATTTCATCCTTGTCTAGTGGTTGATTACTTAATGGATGTCATGTGATCTAATATTTATTATTTTTTAATCAACAGTGAACAGCTTAACAACACCAAGGCTCTAATCGAAGGCGGTATCGTCAAGTGGACAGAATATGAAGAGCAATACAAGGAAGCCCTAGACTGGTTGTCGAAGACTGAGAAATTAGTACAATCCTTCAACAAATTGCAGAATAACTTGGAACAGAAGAAAGTCGTTCTTGAGGAGTTCCAGGTAAGGAATAGAAGTAGAATTGTTCTTCTACCTATCTTTCGTAAGAGATTATATTATATAAACCAATGTATTAACTAAACCTATTACTTTTCTGTTTAGGGACACCTCCAAACGCTATTTGATTGGCAAGCGGAGCTGGACAAACTGAATGTGCGTGCTCAAACTCTATTGGAGACTTGCGCAGACACCAGAATTTCCAATGGCATTACACAGCTCACTACGAAATACAACGCACTGCTGTCGCTAGCCAAGGAGGTTATGAAGAGGCTCGAACTTCACTACCAAGTAAGTACCTTTACTTATTCTAAAGGTCAATTCTGAATCGCATAATATATTATCCTAGAGATGTAAAGAAATGTTTCATGAAATATATTGTGCTGTTTTCTTCTTAGGAACACCAACAACACAATGCCTTGTACGGCGAATGCCAAGACTGGCTTGACAGGACCCGAGAGAAGCTCAACCAATGTGCTGAAATTCCGAACAACTTACCTGAAGTTAATAGCAAACTTAACACTGTAAAGCTTCTCCGTCAATCTTTGGAGCAGGGTCAGAACAAACTGCGGTACCTTCTAGAACTTAAAGAGAAGGTGATCATGAACACTGAGCAGACAGGAGCTGCTAAGATACAGGAAGACACTGATAACTTGAAACAAGAGTTTGATAAGCTAATTGCTGATCTGCAAGACGTGAGGAACAAGTTGACTAACAGAGCAGCGCAGTTTGATGATATCTCTAAGGTAAGGTTCTAAACGTAACTTTCACTTGATTGAGATTTTTTCCATTTACAATTTCTGAATACTAATGAACTGAATGCTTTACAGATCCACAAGCTACTGGTAGAATGGTTAGACGATATTGACCAGAAGATTCAGTCAGATGACTCTCTTCTTCAAGACTTGTCAGAGAAGAAGGCCAAGTTGGAGAAGTTTAAGACCTTCAACAGAGACATTGATTCTCATAACGACCTGGTCAAGAGATTGAATGAGAAGCTCCGAGAGGACGCCTCTCTCAAGTCCAAGGACATTGAAGATACGCTGCAGAGGTATGATGACATCAGGAAGACTGTCAACGAGATGATTGCGGTTAGTATCAGATTTTTTTCAATTATTGTTAGTTCATTGATACATTTTTCAAGGTCAAAGTCAAAAGTCAAAGCATTTATTTCAATGAATCCTCAATTAGGCACTTTTAAAGCGTCAAAAATTTCATTGTCCGTCAGTCTGTCTGTCAGTGAAGCTAGGCGCTCTTCTCCTTTAATCTGTCAAATACCAAGCGGTCACCGGTGACCGCGACCTATTGTTCTTTAATTGTGTCTATAAAACCGGTACTCGACGAGTTAATTAGTGAGTTGTACTTATAGATTGTTTACTTTATTTCAGAAACTGGAAGAATACGTAAACTCGCATATTCAGTACAAAGAGTCATACGACAGTTTCTACGACTGGATCAGGAACTGCAAGATCGAGATCCAACAGTGTTCAGACTCCCACGGCGAGAAGGACTCCGTGCAGAAGAAGTTGCAAAAAGTCAACAAAATTATTGAATCTCTGCCTAAAGGCGAGGCTTTGCTGAAGAAAGCTATCAGTCTCAGCAACGCAGTGCTAGAAACTACTGGTAATGAAGGCAAGGACAATATCAACCAAGAGATAAAGCAGTTGAAAATTGAATGGGAGAACCTACAACAGATCTGCAAGGACACCAAGAAGTTGCTGGAGAAATGCTTGGCGGCGTGGTCAGACTACTTGGAGACGTCCGAGAAGATGAGCAAGTGGGTGAAGGAGTTCGACAACAAGTTGAAGACCGTACAAAAGGTCGACAAGATTACGCCTGAACATCTTGATAAATGTCGCGTAAGTATCATTATCTTTATAGTTTTAATTTCTCAATTACTGTTCCTCTATTTGATACATTTTAAAATAATTTATTTCATTTATTAGGAACTCCTGGCTGAAGCTTTAGGACACAAACACGTCTTGGAAGAACTGAATGACAGATGTGAAAACCTAATGGAACAGAGCGCTTGTGCGTGGGTTCGTGATAAGACGGTCAACCTTCAAACTGAATACACCACCTTACTCACTAAGATTCAAGGTCTAGTTTCCAATGGCGAGAAGAACTTATCTGACCACACTGAGTTCATCAAGGCCAAGGAAGACCTCCAGCAATGGTTAGAGACAGCCCATGGCACTGTCCAAGATTCTATCGGTGTCGGTGACATTGAAACCACAAAAGACAAGTTGGAGACAGTCAAACTTGTTAACAACAGAATGACTGAAGGCCATCACTTACTGGTCGTCTTACAAGAAGCTTTTAAGAAGGCTCTTAACAACACTCCACCTGAAGAACAAGATGGTCTCCGCAATGACGTCAAGGTCCTACAAGAAAGCTGGGATCAACTGAAGATAGACCTGAACTCTATCACAGCTCAACTTAAAGCTGCTATCGGTAAATGGGAAGACTTTGAAGAATCCAAGAAGAAGATGGACCAATGGATCAAGGACACCGAACAGAACTTGGACAAAGTCCCTCCTACTGGCGGAGAATTAGGTGAAATGAAGACTCTTCTTGAAAAATACAAACACATTGAAGATGAAATTGATAACAAGAAGCCTGAACTTGATAGACTTAAGAGTGAAGCTGCAGAACTGAGCTCATGGGCAAAGAAACCAGCTATCAAGGAGTCTGTAACAGAGATTGAGAAGAAATGCAAGGCTTTACGAGCTAAGTGTGCAGCAAAGAAGGCTGATCTTGAATCTGAGATTAAGGACTACAACAACTACCACCAGTCTCTACAGGACACTGAGAAGTGGCTGTTGCAGATCTCCTTCCAGCTTATGGCACATAACTCTTTGTACATCTCGAACAGGGAGCAGACAGAAGAACAGCTAGCCCAACATGCAGTTCTTCTTGATGACATTCAGAAGTATAGGTCTACGTTAGACGAATTGGAAGGCAAAGGACAGGCTCAGATCGAACGCTATGAGGCCACAACGCCTTCCATTCGTGAAACTGTTGGCAAACAACTAAAGAATGTCAACGACAGCCACAAGAGCTTGCTGGCCACCGCCCTACAGATTGAGCGTCGTCTTAGGGAAGGTCTCGCCAAGTTCAAGGAGTATGAAGATACGCTGGAGAGCATCCTGAACAACTTGGATGAGATGGAGCCCGCGATTACTGAGCTGGATGTGCCAGTTGATGGACTATCACATGGACGTGAACTACTGGATAAGGCTAGGGTAAGATCTGATTTTTATGCAAATTTTAAAAGAAGTTTTATTAAGAAATAAGTTTTAGATGTTCTGAATTAGTCTAAATGTAAATGTCTCATCTAAAATATTGTGAATGCCTTCGCAAATGATGTATGAGCACACAAATTCTGCCTATGCTAATTATTAATGAGTAAACATACCTATAGAGACTAACTTAAAACCGAGCTAACCAAAGCAATTTACCACAGGGTCTCCACAACCGCCTACAAACGGAAAAAAGTCGTCTGTCAGCGGCAGTAGCAGCTTGCTCTGCTGCAGCAGCGTCAGTGTCCCGTCCATCTTCTCCAGCAGACACAGCTCCTCTGCCCATACCACCGAGAGAGCTGCAAGTGCGAGCTCGCCTCGAGGACCTCATCGATCAGGTACTGAAAGCCTCCTCTAACATCCTCGCTTCAGAAGTTTTGACGTCGTTTTAAACAACTGACTAACCGCCGTACTCAAGGTCATTCAATGGTTGCATAATCTCCTTAGCAATTTTTTTCAGAACTAAATCATTACTAAGGAATTCAATTTATCATTAATGAATGTGTCTGAGTACGGCAGTATGGATGTTTGATGTTTAATATTCGTGAATCGTATTGCATTGATTAAGTTATAAGGGAATGATATTGGAATTACGGCCTTATTCAAAGTACAAGTAGGTTTAGATTGTTGTAAGGTAGTCTAAATCTTTTGGAATGGTAGGATTCATAGTAAGTCCTTTCTTGTAGAGTTGTCTCAACTATGTGTGTGAGGTTACAAGTAATGAGCCTTAAGCAAATTTGATTCGTAAAGCAACTGCCCACAACATAATATTCATTATAAGATAATTATTAAGTAAAATATCGTGTTCACTAATATAAAAATTAGAATACAAGATTAATTAATTTGAAAATGCAGTGTATAGAAAACGATGAAATATAAATGTTTATCTATAGGTATCTATAATTAGAGAAACATATTTAAAAATCTATAGAAGTTTAAGTAGGATGTAAGGAATAGGCATTTTAAACTCATAAAAGATAAGGAACCAAATCAAATCCAATGCAATGCGATTCACCATGCTTATGAAACTGAATGGTTTGCAAAATTAAATAATAAAATACTTACTCATATTAAACCTATGCTTATAAGTTCGCCAGGTCGACAAAACGAACAGAACCAACGTTTTTGATGTAAGATAAGATCTCTTATTAATTATTAATAATAATAATAAAGTAATTGTTAACATTGTTGTAGATAGACCGTAGTTAGTACAATAATAATGTAAAGGCTTTATCGTTGGCAATGTAACTTTTGTGCACCTGGTTTTGTCTGGATTGAGATTATTAATGGTGAATATCTTTTTTAATACACGATATACGTTTAAAATATCATAGAATCTTTATGATGATAAAACAACTTATAAAATAACGTATTCTGAAAACTATCCATTATCCTTTGTTTCATTTGAATTGTAATACTGTATTTTAAAATTGTATTTTTTTTTTTGGAAATCTATTTAATAAGTACTTTTAGTAATAGCAATGTCGCATTTATATCACTTCAAAATACCGATGAGAAAAACATCAGGCGCTTACAACAGTTAGTTGATAACAGTAGAAGATTTGTCGTAAGTCTTCTAAGGCGTGTTTAAATAATATAACTTAAATATAGAACCGTATTAAATTACATTATTTTAATAAATAAAGATAAATAATCTCAGGTCAGACAATGACAAGCAGGCACCGTTGCAATAGGCACGTATACCATGTCTCACTAGATGAACACAATAATATCACCGATACAAAGTTGATGGCTTCTGCTATGTCACGTTTGGATTGAGATAATGACAGAGAAAAAATGGAAAAAAAGAACCTAAGAAATAATTATCAAGTCTTTATGAATACACCTACGACAGGAGAGAACATCTTCCTATAAGTAAGAAGAGCTCTTCTCTTTTTCTGTTTTAAGGGACTTGTGCAAACCATGTCTATATAATATAAATGATTTTGACAGATGACGTTTAATATTGATATTTGCCAGTGGCAAGACAATCTATGTTGAGAAAAATAAATCGGATGAGCTAAACCGACTCTCATTTAATATAGATAACATGGGTGGAATTGAAGTAACAAAAACGGGATTGTAGAACAGTTTTTGTTTCCATTATTTTCTCTGTCATATCAGTAACAAATTAATAATACTATCAAAAAACTAATCCGCACTGTTTTGATGTTTGTGTGATGCATGGTTTGTTTATAGAAACATGTGGCTGAAGTACAAACCGCGCCACGTATTGAACATATACTAAAGACGCTTGAGGCGCCCGAGTTCAGTCAAAAGCTTACGACTTTTGAAACAAAGGTGAGTTTTCTTTAAACGATCAAGAATTTCTAGCAAGATAATGAAGAAACTGATGAAATTATTGTAATGGAAAATGAACCTAATGAAACTGTAACGGAAGTTACTGGTAATGATGGAGTTTTAACTAATGTTAAGATTCAAAATATGTAATCAAAATCATTCTACATAGAATGGCACTAGCAACCAGTCCACCAAAGGCACCAAATATTCTATGCATGTCTCATGCAAGTCCATCTCACAACTACCAAGTACAATCTCAAAAATCATTATCAGTATGAAAAACCTTGCAATTATAGTCAATGGCAATTTTGATCACAATTACAAATGCAATAAATATTTGCACTTTCTCTAATAATGCCTTGCAAACTTTAACTAACTTATCTACTTACATGCTACAGGTACAAAGTCATTTGGAAGAGTTAGGAGATGCTGTCCATGGAATGGAAGAAGCCATGAAACAGGTCCTTGAGATCCAAGAATGGATCGCAGTCCATACTGCTCTGGCCCGAGACTGGCTTGCTAACCCATCCAAACTCAGGCCTGAGGCAGCTAAGCAGGACATGGCTGCCATGAATGACGCTCTTGCTTCTCTTAGTGAAAAGAGAAACAGACTACTCACTGAAATTCCTACTGAAGGTTCGTACATATTTTTATATAACGACAAAAATATTTCGATACTCATTGGAACTCGTTCTAATTATCTATTGCTTATTTTTGCGCAGGTCTTGAAGATGAAATAAACCTAGAAGAAGAGCTGGATAACCTCGAACAAGCTATACTCAAGGCCATCGAAAGAGAAAAGGGCAACCAAGCCATCATCGATGCTTTCCGCAACAAATGCCAAGAGATCCACGACTTCTTCGACTCCACTCTCAAGAAGATGTGTCTGGCTGACAAGGGCTCTGGTCTCCCTTGCCCTCAGAAACTAAGTGCCCTTAAAGAACTGTCCTCAGAATTCGGACAAGCTGGCAAAGACAAGGTCGACAGCATCAAATCTGTTGGATCCCAAGTTATCAATATTGTTAGTAACTTGGAGTCTCAACAAGTAGAGGAGCAAGTAAGTAGTCATCTCAAGATAAACAAATTACGAAACGTGACTATGACAAACGTTATTAGCACTAGTGACCTCACCGACAAATTAGTCAGTGAACCATTGTTGAACCGGAAATTATTGTAATTTACCTAGTACATACTCGTGCATTTTTTCGTAATTCGTATTCAATATTTTTTGTGCACCTGACAATACAATACTAAAATTAAACTTTTTTACAGATGAAATCAGTGGAACGAAGATACAATGACATCGCCAAACGTATCCAGCGCAAATTGCAAATGCTTGAAATCACCTACAAGGCTATCGATGGTACCAAGAGTGAGGTCAACGCGCAAAACGAATGGATGCAAAAGGAAATTGACAACATCCTCCATCCTGAACCTCTTGGTTACGAGAGCAAGTCCGTCAAGGAACGCCAGAAGAAGGTCGCCAACCTTCTCAAAGAAACTGACGGTAAGAAGACAGTCATTGACTCTTTGGAGAAGAAGGTAAGCAACATCCAAGCAGAATTAGAACCTTCAGAACAAATGCAATTGGAATCCGAGTTGTCTGAACTGTCTTCTAAACAAAAACAGTTGGCGTCACTTATTAAACAGGAGATTGAAAGGTTAGGCACTTGCGCTGAAGATAGGAAGAAACTTGAAAACGACATTGAAAAGGCTAAGAACTGGCTTAAGGCTAAGCTCGCTGAAATTAAGAAACTTGGCGGCCCAGTACCTCTGGAAGCTGCTAAGGTCGAAAAAGAGATTGCTATCCACAAGAAGCACCAGAGCGAGCTCTCCGACTTCCACAATGACACTTTGACCGAGGTGATGCGCCAAGGTAATGCTGTATCTAAGGATTGTTCTCCTGAAGATAGGGCTAAACTACAGGCTATTCTTGAAGACCTAAACAAATCATACACCTCGGCGAAGGTGGACATTGACGATAAGCTAGCAGCACTCAACAAACGTTTACAAGGTAGGAACGAATTCGAGGCTGAAGTTGCTAAGTGCCAGAGCTGGTTGAATGAAGCTGAGGTAGCTGCCACTCCTGAACTGCGCACTACAAGCCTTCAACTCCTGGAGGAACAACTCGCCAAGTTCGAAAAACTAAGTAAAGAAGCCGATGATGTTGAAAAGAACATCAGCAAAATTAAGGACAAATCTAAGGACATCATGGACTCATTGTCAGATTCTAATAAACTGCAACTGAAGGAACAAGTTAACGTTCTGTCTGACAGATTTGCAAGAATTAAAGCCATTATCAATGACAAGAAGAGCATTCTTCTCAAGCACATCAAAGAATACAAAGACGCTGCAGCCAAGATTGCCGCTGCGCTTGAATTCTTGAACGAAATCCAAAATAAATTGAAGGCTCTCAACAAACCTATTGGAAGCAAAGTAGAAGATGTTCAACCTATCATTCAAGCATACGAGTCTATTTTATCCGATCTGAAAAAGAATAAGGCTATGCTGAATGAGCTACAAGGTGGCAACTTACACGACTTGCAAGATATACTGACACAGCAAGATGATTTAATGAGCACTATTGAAGATCAAATATCAAAACTCAAATCACTTCTTCTTTTGCGAGAACAGTTCTTCGCTTTGGTGAAGGAAATTGAAGAATTCATTGCCAAATACACTGACCTTACATCAGAAATTGAGAAATCAAATGACTCTTTGGAGGACAAGATCAAACGTTACGATGACATCATTGTCAAGATTCAAGGATGCGAAGCTTTACTTGCTACTGCAACTGATAAGGGTCAACAGATAGCCGCTGAAGGTACTGTCATTGATAGAAACAACATCACTGAGTTGTTACAGTCCTTGAAACAACAACTGCTGACTTTGAGACGAACTGTAGAAGCCAAGCGTCAAGAACACGAGAGAGCCGCAGCAGAACATAAGAAACTCGGCTCCGATCTATCAGAGATTCTTCAATGGCTTCACGATAACGAAGCTGCTGTACACTCACGACCACTCCTCAACAGAGATGTGGCCAGCGTAGACAAGAAACTCACAGAACACGCAACGCTTGTCAAAAACATTCAGGCATACTTGGATAAATTAACTAAAATTACTGACATTATCAAGAACGACGACGGTGTACCAAGCACGTTACTTGAAATGATGTCTGAAGGTAACTCTCTGAAGACATCCTTACCAGAAGAATTGGCAAACAGAGAGAGATACTTGCAAGACAACAAGAAATACAGGCAACAATATCTCCAACTTGTAGAGAAACTGAACATCTGGGTGAACGAAGCGACAATACGCCTTGACATGGGCAAGAACGGAACAGATTTCGAGAACATCGAATCCGATTTAGAAGAACACAAATCCTTCTTCAATACATCTGAGCCATCGATGAAAGATCTTGTTGGAAAGCGCATGCAAGATATAGTAGACAAGATCTGGCCATCTCTGGCAGCGTCTGAACAAGACGAGCTATCAAAGGACCACCAGAAACACAACCAACTTCTGAAGAATACCCTAAACTCTGCGAAGTCTCGTCAAGCGCAACTGGAGCAAGATTTGGAGATCTGGAAGGACTTCTGTCAGTTGGTTGACAAGATCAAAGCGATACTGGAGAAGAACGACATTCAAGATGAGCCTGTGACGTCAGTGGACTCGCTGAGACTGCATCTTGAGAAGCTGAATCACGCCAAGAATGACCTTGAGGTGAGTGGCTATTTCGTAGTGGATACAAACTTGTGTAGCGTCGCGTAGTAAATTCAATTAGCAAAGATAATAGTACTCACGGTCAAATGTTTTACATATGAGTAAACTTGTGGTATCATCTCTTTTATTGAGGAAGTTGTATCTACTATTTTACTACGTGGTTGCTACAGAAGTCTACTTTTTTATTCCTAGTTTGGCTGGCTGATATTACTCGCATTTTTCAAGAGATTAGTAATGTATTCTGCAAAACTTATTTAAGTAAATATTTTTTACAATCATCGATATTGAAATACGTTTTAACTACTATTAATCAAGGACTATAGGACAATATTTTTTTAAATCAAAACGGTTGTTTTAGGGCTTGTACACAAAACTGCGATGCGACTTCGTATCGCAAAAACATGCGAGCCCCCTCTACGCATCGCGAATTGATTCGCATCACGCATCAATCTCTTATCTTTCCAAAATCTTCTTTGTTTCTTTTTCCTATATCTCCTAAGCAATAACAAAAGTGCACACTTCTTTTTACGATCCATGTCACGACCTAGTTTTCAATTTAAAATACGTTTAGTACGGTTGACGGTCGTCGAAGGAATGGTTACCCTGGGAGACGCCTTGTCGCACAACATCGTGTCGGAGCAATCCGTGTCGTAATTTTCTGCGTTGCTAATTCGCATCGCATCGCAGTTTTGTGTACGAGCCCTTAGTAAATTGGTGCTAATTTTATTCATTGACAGTTAAACGACGCCTTAAAATGAAGTTTTCTGACACCAGTGTCAAATAATTTATCCAATTTCAATCAATTTGGATAACAGACGTCTTCTCAATTGGTATCCTGACTCACTGTCTGAAAATTTTAGTAGGGGATTTCCAGAAGTATAAAATATAATAATATTTGCTCTGTATCCGTGAAAACCCTAAACGCCTAAACGATATTACAATATAGAGTTGTCCGGATAAAAATAGAACTAAATAATCATTAAAGAAATGCACTCGTGCGTTTTGAGATACGAATAAAATTATCGACATGCTACAAACAGTAGCCATCTTTTCCATTACTTCGTTCTAAATCCGCTAGATGTCGCCTGAAGTAGGTTAGGTAACGGCTGTTTAAAGATCGATATCTTGTATTATAGCTTAACAATGGTTAATGAAAAAGCAGAATCATCAACCAATATACGGTAATAGACGCCGTAAAATGCATAAAATCCATATTAATGCCTGTATTACAATTTCAAATTGAGTTAAAGCGGTTGCTAACGCTCATTACTTTGTGCTGCATATTAATTACTGTTTGTCTTTTTTTTTTCTTATGTAAATAGTTATGAGCACAGTTTAAATAGAAGTGTGTCAATATTTGGTCGCTCTATCTTAACGTGTGTCATAGGAATCATGAAATTAAGATGATATTTTAAAAAGAATTTTGGTTAATGAAATATTAATATTAAATTACGTCGAAATATGCAGTTTGTAAATTAATAATTACTTATGTCGAAATAACACCTAATTAGCCAAAAAATCTAAGTCTTTTAGATTAAATGTGTTATGTTATATTACCTAGTACAATAATGCTGTCTACTACGATTTAGTTATGTGCATAAGGGTTAATAAAATTAGTCCTATGTTTGTTCGTATATAAACCGAGATAGGTTATAGGTATGTGTTATCAAAACCCTTGCGTATCAGTGAATTGCATTGATCAAACTCAGGTACTGATAATTAGGTGATAAGTAGATAGGTACTTAAAATAATTTTGTTTAGTCATCATTAGTTTTCGTATAATTTTGAAATTAAATCTTACTGTTATATAGATTAATATAATAAATTATACTATTCCTCAGATATCCCGGAGATTGACTCGATTGTTATTATAATAACAGAAACTATACAAAAAAAGAATAATCAAATTCGGCGCAGTCGTTCACCAGTTATGCGCGCACGATAAATTTAGCGATTCAATTTTTTTACGTAATAAATGTACTACCTAGTTTTGGCCTTACGTAATCTACATGTAAGACAATTAGGTAGCGCCAAGCCTCCGTGTCAGATGACCTTCAGATTTTTTGTCTAAACTGTGTTAGGCGTAAAATAATGGCTATTTTGTTTATGTAGTAGCATTAAAATAAAAATCGCCTCTTTTTGGGTACATTTATTAACTATTTAAATGCATACTTACTGAAAAGGTTTATTAACAAGACAACAGCACTTTAGCAAGTTTTTTAAAAGAATTGTCGCCAGTCTTATTATTTATTACTTAACTCATAAAAAGGTACTATTTTTCCTCAATTTTCTAGCTTCGTGAACTGCATTTTTTTCCTAGATCTTACCTGTGGTTTACACCAGTTGACTGGTTCTTATTTTTAGTTCATAAACGACTAGGTTATTGCACTTTATTCCAAGGTCTATTGTTGCCGAGTTAAGGCTAAGTTGCTTAGTTATACGGATAAACTTACTGAATGGTCTTTTTCTGATAGATACTTATAATTTATGATTAAAGAAAATTTTCCATATAAACTTTTATATGGAACGTAATACTTAAATAATATAATATTATGAATAAATATAAACAACTTAAAAAAGGAAACGAAATTCCGACACTTAGGCGTCAAAGAATTCGCCCGTATCACTGTCACTGGTCGCGGAGAACCTAACGGGTTACCGGGGCTCCGGCTCGAAGTGCAGGAGAAGGAACGGGGTGGTTTTAGTCAGTAAGAGTCTGACACTCCCTTCCGCCTCACCCAGACGGGAGCAGTCATTCGATGATTTTCCGCCCTTAAAAAATAAAAAATCGCTGTCACTGGAAAAATGTAGAGCTTACCTACCTAATGGCTGAAAAAAAAAATACAGTGGGCTAGCTTGAATAAATATTAAAACTATTATAATTATATACAAAAATCGTTTTCCTTTTTTAATAGATATAAGTACCTAACTATAGTAATGAGTTCACAATAGGTAAATCGGAAATGAAAAAGGAATTTCCCAATTTATTATTTCCTGCCTACTTGTATATTTTAGTGTTGTTGCCTTACAAATAAAAAAAAATCGTTTCTCAGGTCTCATACAAAAATACGTTGCTATCCTGACTTTTGAAACACACATGTCTTTGCTTTCATTTAGTTAACAATAATAATTGTATTGCAAAAACTATCATACATTCAAAACACGTACCTTCTTGACTCTTATGGAGACCATTAAAAATGTATGGGGAGACAAGACAAGGTCAGAATAATTGCATTTACTGCTTTGAAATTGAGAACCTACTTTGACATTAATATGTTCTTTATATATCACTAGCTTTTACCCGCGGCTTCGCTCGCGTCACAAAAGGATAAAAAGTAGCCTATGTGACATATACTAATACATACAGCGCCATCTATACCAATACTTTTGTTTTCCCTCGGGAATATTAAATTTTTTCGGGATAAAAAGTACCCTATTATTTAATCCAGACTACTAACTTTACGTCTGCAAAAATTCAATGCAATCGGTTTAGTAGTTACGGCGTGAAATCGGAACAAACAAACAAACTCACCTAATTCAGTCGACTCCCTATTTGTAATGGTGTCTCTATCATTGTCGATGGTTGTTAAGTGTCAGCTGCCATCGTTATTTAACTAGTTATATTTCTTATATTAAAAATGCCCGTACACTGTTGGCTGAAAGACTTTAAAGCTATCTTCTATTAGCAAACACATCATTATTATGACAATGAAGTGTTTCTTGTAATCAAAATGACACATTTCCTTAACATTACAAAACAATATACTATGAATATGATAACCCCAAATCTAGAATTATCATAAACAGTTACGATGACGGACCCTTATCGATATCGATATTCGCGAGCAATATGTCAATTAAGTATTGCACAACACTTTATGAGCTCAGAGTATTCGCCTTAATGGAGTGATGTCAGCGGGCCGCGAGCGCGAGCGCCCGCAGTCGCCAGTCAGTGACTGCATAGCATCGCAATGAGAACTGTACACAAACACTCCACTTATTGCCTTGCTTTCTCATCGTGCAAGTGTTATATCCACGTGCCCACTTAGTTCTAAAACCCCAAACTAGTTATCTATACAATTTTTTAATTTCTAGTCAGTAAGTAGGTATTAAAAATTCCACGAAAAAGGAAGGTAAGTCAGTGATACCGTGATAAGTTTTATTCAATGTCAGTTTTCGCACCGCTACGTAAGTTTTGTTGTTGTTTTTAGAGTTCAAGGTCACGGTCGGATTGTATATTATTATGTTTTCACTTTTCAAATGTTGATTTGTGTTGTGAACTCTTCATTGGATTCTAGTGAGGTTAAACGTCATTATGTCTACAAAAAGTGTTTGCGGTTTTTTGTGATCTTAATCGTGATCTCACTCCTATTTGTGTTTCCTTGGTATAAACACCAACGCATAGCTTGGAGCCATTTTCAGCGAGCATTGGTCTCTGGTTTATAATTTGCAGTTAACCGCCGGTTATTATGCCTTATAAGGAAACTGCAGTTAACTTTCGTAACCATCTTTTGGCAGTTTATTTCTCCTTAATTGGATGAACTCCGGTAATGAATGTTTCCGCCTTGGTGAGCCCAAAATTAAAGACGAAATGAGCAGACAGACGAACTTTAAAGTAGTAATCCTACTTAATATGTTAGTTCGTTTATTTATTACTTAATCACTTCAAAACGCCTGAAGTGATCGAGATTGAATTTGGAACAGGGGTAGGTCTGGAATAACTTTTAAGACTTTTTATCCCATAATAACGCGGACAAAGCCGGTTGCGGATATTAGTATATTATATGATACTAAAGTAATGTTATTCGGCCAATGGAGGTAAATGCTGTCAAACACGCTTTGCCCTTGAAGGTCAGGGTTATATCGATGCTGGTTTATGTAATCTATCGATTGATACTGTTGTGGAACTTACTGCTATACCAATTTACTATCTACACGCTAATCGATATCGGATGACATTCGATAAACAACCTTGAAATTGGTTTTCTTTCACTTTTCTT